TGACGATGGGAAGTGATAAGGAAGTGATGAGGAAGGGACGTGTGTAATTCTATGCGTTTCTTGAATCTCTGGTTGCGGATCGCATTGGAATGGCTGCATGAATGTTGCATGGGCTATCTTGTGGGGAGGAAGCCGGAGCACGAAACCTTGTGTTTTTCCGTGTAAAGTGCCTGCAGGCGGCGATGAAAGGTACCTCGTGTGTGCGACGGTTGCGGTTTGGATCGTTTCGAGGTCAATCGGTTCCTCCTCTGTGTTCTGCAATGAGTGGTTGTGTCTGTGTGCGTAGTTCTATGCGTTTCTTGCATCTGTGCTTACAAATCGCATTGTAATGGCTGCATCAATGTTGCATGGGCTTTGTTGTGGGGAGGAAGCCGGAGCACGAAACCTTGTGTTTTTCCGTGTAAAGTGGCTGCAGCCGGCGATGAAAGGTACCTCGTCTGTGCGACGGGTGCGGCTGGGGTCGTTTTGTGCGCGAATCGTTCCTCCTATGTGTTTTGCAAGAAATGGTTGTTCCTGTGTGTGTAGTTCCATGCGTTTCTTGAAGCTGTGGTTGCAGATCGCATTGGAATGGCTGCATCAATGTTACATGGGCTAGGTTGTGGGGAGGAAGCCGGAGCACGAAACCTTGCGTTTTTCCGTGTAAAGTGGCAGCAGCCGGCGATGAAAGGTACCTCGTCTGTGCGACGGGTGCGGCTGGGGTCGTTTTGTGCGCGAATCGTTCCTCCTATGTGTTTTGCAAGAAATGGTTGTTCCTGTGTACGTAAGTCTATGCGTTTCTTGAAGCTGTGGTTGCAGATCGCATTGGAATGGTTGCGTGAATCTTACATGGGCTATGTTGTGGGGAGGAAGCCGGAGCACGAAACCTTGTGTTTTTCCGTGTAAAGTGGCTGCAGCCGGCGATGAAAGGTACCTCGTCTGTGCGACGGGTGCGGCTGGGGTCGTTTTGTGCGCGAATCGTTCCTCCTATGTGTTTTGCAAGAAATGGTTGTTCCTGTGTGCGTACTTCAGATCGCATTGGAATGGTTGCATGAATGTTACATGGGCTATGTTGTGTGGAGGAAGCCGGAGCACGAAACCTTGTGTTTTTCCGTGTAAAGTGGCTGCAGCCGGCGATGAAAGGTACCTCGTCTGTGCGACGGGTGCGGCTGGGGTCGTTTTGTGCGCGAATCGTTCCTCCTATGTGTTTTGCAAGAAATGGTTGTTCCTGTGTGCGTAGTTCTATGCGTTTCTTGAAGCGCTGGTTGCAGATCGCATTGGAATGGTTGCATGAATGTTACATGGGCTATGTTGTGGGGAGGAAGCCGGAGCACGAAACCTTGTGTTTTTCCGTGTAAAGTGGCTGCAGCCGGCGATGAAAGGTACCTCGTCTGTGCGACGGGTGCGGCTGGGGTCGTTTTGTGCACGAATCGTTCCTCCTATGTGTTTTGCAAGAAATGGTTGTTCCTGTGTACGTCATTCTATGCGTTTCTTGAAGCTGTGGTTGCAGATCGCATTGGAATGGCTGCATGAATGTTACATGGGCTAGGTTGTGGGGAGGAAGCCGGAGCACGAAACCTTGTGTTTTTCCGTGTAAAGTGGCTGCAGGCGACGATGAAAGGTACCTCGTGTGTGCGACGGTTGCGGCTGCGGTCGTTCCGGACGCGATTGGTTCCTCCTATGTGTTTTGCAAGAATTCTTGCTCCTGTGTGCGTAGTTCTATGCGTTTCTTGCAGCTCTGGTTGCAGATCGCATTGGAATGGCTGCATGAATGTTGCATGGGCTATGTTGTGGGGAGGAAGCCGGAGCACGAAACCTTGTGTTTTTCCGTGTAAAGTGGCTGCAGCCGGCGATGAAAGGTACCTCGTCTGTGCGACGGGTGCGGCTGGGGTCGTTTTGTGCGCGAATCGTTCCTCCTATGTGTTTTGCAAGAAATGGTTGTTCCTGTGTGTGTAGTTCTATGCGTTTCTTGAAGCGCTTGTGGCAGATCGCATTGGAATGGTTGCATGAATGTTACATGGGCTAGGTTGTGGGGAGGAAGCCGGAGCACGAAACCTTGCGTTTTTCAGTGTAAAGTGGCTGCAGCCGGCGATGAAAGGTACCTCGTCTGTGCGACGGGTGCGGCTGGTGTCGTTTTGTGCGCGAATCGTTCCTCCTATGTGTTTTGCAAGAAATGGTTGTTCCTGTGTGCGTAGTTCTATGCGTTTCTTGAAGCGCTGGTTGCAGATCGCATTGGAACGGGTGCATGAATGTTACATGGGCTAGGTTGTGGGGAGGAAGCCGGAGCACGAAACCTTGCGTTTTTCCGTGTAAAGTGGCAGCAGCCGGCGATGAAAGGTACCTCGTCTGTGCGACGGGTGCGGCTGGGGTCGTTTTGTGCGCGAATCGTTCCTCCTATGTGTTTTGCAAGAAATGGTTGTTCCTGTGTACGTCATTCTATGCATTTCTTGAAGCTGTGGTTGCAGATCGCATTGGGATTGGCTGCATGAATGTTACATGGGCTAGGTTGTGGGGAGGAAGCCGGAGCACGAAACCTTATGTTTTTCCGTGTAAAGTGGCTGCAGCCGGCGATGAAAGGTACCTCGTCTGTGCGACGGGTGCGGCTGGGGTCGTTTTGTGCGCGAATCGTGCCTCCTATGTGTTTTGCAAGAGATGGTTGTTCCTGTGTGCGTAGTTCTATTCGTTTCTTGAAGCGCTGGTTGCAGATCGGATTGGAATGGTTGCGTCAAGGTTACTTGGTGCAGCGGCTGCATGCGTAATACTATTGTCTTTTGCAGCTGAAGAGCGTAAATCGTATTGGAAATGCATCAAGGTTGCGATAGTGATTTGTCAGCAGATTTTCTCCATTTTGGCGCTCGTGATTTTCCTTTTAAAATCCTTTTTAAAAGTGCTTCAAAATCGTCCTTTTTTCGCTTTGGCGTCGAGATCCGGCGGTTTTGGAGCTGCAGTTTCTGACGCCGTTGCGTGTAATTCTATTGTGTTTTGCAACTCAGTCTCTGCAGATCGCATTGTAATGGCTGCGTCAAGGTTGCTGCGTGCTGTGGCTGCATGCGTAATACTATTGTCTTTTGCAGCTGGATCTCATAAATTGTATTGGAGTGGCTGCATGAAGGCTGCGAAATCGATTTGTCAGCAGATTTTCTCCATTTTGGCGCTCGTGATTTTCCTTTTAAAAATCCTTTTAAAAAGTGCTGCAAAATCCTCTTTTTTTCGCTTTGGCGTCGAGATCCGGTTTTGGAGCTGCAGTTTCCGACGCCGTTGCGCGTAGTTCTATTGTGTTTTGCAACTCAGTCTCTGCAGATCGCATTGTAATGGCTGCGTCAAGGTTCCTTCGTGCTGCGGCTGCATGCGTAATACTATTGTCTTTTGCAGCTTGATCTCGTAAATCGTATTGGAGTGGCTGCATCAAGGCTGCGACAGTGATTAGTAGTAGTACTGGGAAGTGATTCCTGAAAGCTTAGACGACATATGAGTAGAGATGAGATGAGAAGAGATCAGCTGGGATAAGGTGAGAAGAGCTCAGCTGAGATGAAGTGTGGAGTGTGAAGAGTGCAGTGTGAAGTGTGGATTGTGAAGAGTGCAGTGTGAAGTGTGAAGTTTGGAGTGTGAAGGAAGCAGTGAGAAGTGTGAAGTGTGGACTGTGAAGTGTGGAGTGTGAAGTGTGAAGTTTGGAGTGCGAAGAGTGCAGTGTGAAGTGTGGAGTGTGAAGTGTGGAGTGCGAAGTGTGGAGTCTTAAGAGTACAGTGTGAAGTGAAGTGTTGACTGCGAAGGGTGCAGTGTGAAGAGTGCAGTGTGAAGTGTGGAGTGCGAAGTGTGTAGTGTGAAGACTGCACTGAGAAGTGCGAAGTGCGAAGTGGAGCTTCAAAAGTGACATGTGAAACAAGACACCAGTTTCGCAGAGTGCACGCACGCACCGGCTTGGCTGGCGCACGGCGCATGCAAGTTCTATAGATGAGAAAGGTCTCATATATATCTTTAAGGCAACTTCCGCCCCGCCTCGTGCGGGTACTACTGGTATATAATACATACAATATATATATATATTTATTATATAATACATACAATATATTTTATAAATACATATATATATATACAAATCAAAAAATAAAAGATATATAATATACACTATATTTTGAAAAAACATAAATATAAAATATATTTTATATAATATATAATCTTCAAAAAATAATATATGTATATATATATTATAATTATATGTGTTTACTTAATTTTATTTACGTGCTTGTATTTTGTGTCATGACCATACTTATAGCATTTGATGTGGTGTGTGTGTATTGAGGTATTCCCTCCGATCACGCGCCAAGGAACTGCCGGGGAAGTTAGCGCCAGCAATTTCGTGGGCGACAGCTTTGGACAGTCCTGCCATGTTAAGTGGGATGATAGCTCCATGTTCCCATAAAACGATGAGAAATTTTACGATCATGGCTGCCAACTCTGGTACCCTCTGGTAAACTAACGTAACTATGGAAAGATCCACCATTTTGAATGGGTAAATCCACTATAAATGGCAATTTTCAATAGCTATGTTAGTATACCAGAGGGTATTTGAAAGCCAAATTTTTGGATTCCACTCCAGGTTTATCAGTTTATCAACAAAAGAAATATCGAGCGGGGACCAATCATTCATTGTGGGAGCCGCTTCAAATGGTTTTTTTCCATTGTTGATAGCTGGAAGTTTCACAGACCCAGAGTGATATTTCCATATATTTCCTAGCTTCTTGCTGGTCAACAGATATTTCAAGCCTTGGCAGTCGGGTGCGCAGGCTTTAAGCTCACAGAAACTCAGTTAAAAACTCAAAACTCTCCGAGAAACTCAAACTATAAACCTCTCTAGACTCTGCTTGAAATGTTGCACAAATATGCGCACATACTCATTTGTGAAATCCCATTTTGCTGGTGAAGGCCCAGTGATGGTGGAATCCCTACTTGCACTACGAAAATCCCCATGGTCTTGGTGAGATCTGTGCTGGTGAAACTTCCATGTTTCTTCTGGTTCACCATGCCTGGTCAGACTCGTACTGGTTCATCTGGCAATCCATCAGCACTGAACGAATGGATCGTGCAAACAACGCACCTGGGTACCGCGATCCAACGAATCGCAAGACGTTCGAAACACGGGCACTTTGGAAACCATCCTCAAGCCCAAAAAAAAGAAGTCTCAGTCAAACCGTTTTTTTGGGGGGCGATTCGAAGTTGGCATCGAACATTTCCCCCAGCTTCCATCCAGCTTCCAGCCAGTTCAAGCATCAGTTCCACCAGTCAACCATGATATCCCCCACTAAATCCATCCATTTTCCATAGGTTTTCCTAACCAAAAACCAGCCATCCATAGCAGCCACGGCACCAATGCCCAAACTCATCCCCAGCAGGGCCAGGGAGGCGCTCTGGCCCTCCAGGGTCAGATTCCGCAGGCCCTCGCGGCTGATCACCGCATCCTGGGCCGAACGAAAACGCGGCGCAGGGCGTTTTTGTGGCTGGTGGATCAACCAGAGAAACGATTATTCTTTTTTTTTCTATCGCCTTGCACCTCTTGCCGCGCGGTCACGGCATTGAAACTAGGTGCTTTGGCACCAGATGACACCCGAGCTAAACTCTACGTTGCCGTGCAGCGGTCAAAATGTTATGATTTTGAACATCAAACCCTCGATAATCTGTATGGCTTAATTTACTGTGAATTAATTCATTTGATCTGAAAGTCCATTGCTGTCTAGGTCTACCAATACGTCTTTTTCCTATTTCAACGGGTTCTGCGCTGTCTGGTTGGTATGTAACCTGCCTTAAGGGGTCACTGTTTGGCGACCGAAGGATGTGCCCAGCGAGTTTAATTCTTCTCTCATCAAGTAGTTCAGTGAATGGTTTGACACAGCCATTACCTGATGGGAATGCGATGTCCGAAGCTGTTTGATAAACTCGCTGGTTGGTATTCTGCCTGTTTACATACGTTGTTTGCATTCGCAGGATTTTTCTGAGGCCTCGCAAATGAAACGCATCCAGTTTCTTTCGTAAAACGATTATTCTATAGGGAATAATATCTGGGCAAATAATAATAAACTAACCTGAATTAAGGCCCCCTTTCCTTCCAAAAGGAGCCTGCACCCAGCAGCTGCGGAGTGCAGGCTCAGCTCCAAGGCGCTCTGCCACATTCGGCAGGTAAACACTAATGATACCCAATCAGCTTTGCTGATTCTCCCGTTTCTGTCTCGCCTTTGATGATCGCCGGTTGTATTTGAAATTGTCGCATATGGTAATCCAGTCTTTGTCTTGCATTTCTGTCGTCCTTTGTTTCAACCATCCCGGCTTGAAAGGATGATCGTATGATTTTTTCCCAAGTAAATGCTCTTGCACAAAGTCAACCACTTGCTGTTGCTTTGGGAAGCATGGCCGTGGTGCCATCCCACTCACCCATTGCCCAAAGCCCTGAGTGCACAAGGGGCAACAACTGCCGTCTGTGTAGATGTTAAAGGGTTGGTTATGTCGCTGTCGTTGGATGGCAAAATCATGATTTCTTTTTCCATGATGATGGCTTGAGGTTGTTGGTGATGTAACATCTGATGTATCTGCATGTCTGCATGAGAATGTATGACTGACATCTGAGAGAATGTAAGTCCTTCTTCATCAACTTGGCGCAGTACTGTCGTGAATGGCTCTCTGATGTGTGTGTGTGTGAACACGGCGCGCCCCTCGAATCTGTGCTCTTTACTGTCATGCTCCCCACAAAAGGGACAAGTACCATCAGATTCGGCAGTCCAGTGAGCCTTTTGGCTTTCCAACTGATATGCTCCAGAAATTTCCCGGAGCAATTGCCTTCGTTCCGGGTCTGAAAAAGTCTTGAGAATGGCTAAGGTATCACACCTGGAAATATCTGGCATGGAGTACAGGCTATGTCGACTCTGATCATCAAAACCAGTTTTTGTTGCCACGCAAGACATAACATGTGGTGTAAGTTTGGAAAGCAAATCCCTTACCAAGTGACATTTTGTGAAACCATCTATATGCATAAAACCCTGCCTGTCAATTTCCCAGGAAAGATTTTGGAGGTAACGTTTAAGTGTGGAGGCGGGCCCTTGTGTACGCATGGTTCCGCCCTGGAAACGCGCTGCAATGTCAAAAAACGCCTTTTGTTTTGCATCGGTTTGGTGGGAAATCCATTGTACTGCCGTTCTAAGAGCCTGGGACGGAACTGCAAATTCAGGATCAAGGATATCCCCATTGGTGAGAAACAGTACCAACGCTGGTGACTTGCTACGCGATTGCCCTACAAGTGCTTCTGCGGCTGCAGTGCGTACTTTGGCCAAGGGATCAATTGAAACTCGAAAGATTTCGGTCCCGTAGAACATTGCAGGATAAACACTGCTTCTGAGGATATGCTCTTTGGTTGAGAGATCATGTGGAAGCACGGATAGCCGAAGTAATCTTTTCATGCCATTGTCATACCTGAATTTTCTGCTTCCAAGTTCCCTAACTCCAGAACAATGCAGCTGAAAACCAAGGTCTTTGGCATTATGGCATCTTTCAATTTCATGTATTGGCATGTCTGATCGAATGGACTCCCAAGCTTTGTGGGCCGTCTCGGAGTCTGATGCCCATCTCCATGTCTTTTTCCAATCAATGTCAAGGCCGCAGCATTCTGTGACATCTGTTGTGGCTTTGGCTGCAGGACCATGGTCATGTTCATTGCCGGTGTGCCATGACCAGTTGTCTGCATACGCGGCTGTTGCAGCTGTTTGGACGTTGGATGCCCAAAGTAGTGCAATTGACAGCATTACCAAGACGGAGTGAGCGTCTCCCTCAGGGAACCCGCACGTAGGCTTTACGGGGCCAAACCTCTGTCCGCTTATTTCCCAGTACCTTTGCATTCGTTGGATGCTACTGTAGAATTGGTGCACTCTGCGTGGCGGGAGCCCCATTTTCAGTAACAGTCTACGGCTTGCTTCATGGCGTATGCAGTTGAAACACTTTTTGATGTCAAGCGTCAACCCTGAGATTTTCTGGCCTTGGCTTTTGGCTATTTCAATCATCATTTGCATGGCATACGCTGCATCATGTGAGCCTCGGGCTGGCAGCATGCCAGTGATTGACGCTGGAAAAAAGGTGGGCCAGAAACGTAGAACCTGTGTGCAAAAAATGCACAAAGACGGTAGGTCTGACTCATGATACATATTGGTCTGCTTTGTTGCGCAAGAGGTGTATCATCGGTTTTGTTGAGTGGGCATACCCTCGTTCGCATGAACCATGTAGGAATCCCCGTCTCATAGTTATTGCACACATGTATAAGTTCTTGCAAAAGCCCGTCCGGAATTAACTTAAGTTCCTGTGCAGAGACTGCATCGAACCCTCTTGCAGAAGAGGCCCGGAGGTTTTTGACTGCGGTTTTCCACGCGTCAAGAGTGTCATCAAATTGGAATGGCTCTGGTGGGTTGGGCATGTTTTGCAACAAAGTCTGAAACTCAGGCCACTCATCATTCGCTGAGATGTGGTGTTCTGCCTGCCACATCGGTATCCAAAATTTTGTTAGTTGATCTGCTACCTCATTGGGCTCAACAACAAAGTGTTTTTGGGTAACCGTGGCAACTGTTTCTTCTGCTGTGGGCATGGTTCGGAATTGCACGGTAAAACTGTGGGAGTCCTGCTGTACAATCCGTCCTGTGGCATCTAGCATATGGACCGGCGCCAAAGTAGGAAAAAATGTTGGATCTCCACAAAAGCATTCGATTTGATTATCATCAGGATTCCAAGTTGAGATGCATTCTGCTTCACCAGGTACGTACACTTCTGTGATCGGCAGTGCTGGGGCACCTTTAACTTTGGCAAATGCCTGAGAAGTATCTGGTGTTTTCTGTAACAGTTCCTGGCAAATTTGCATTTGGCTGCAAAGATAGTATGATACTTGGGCATTGACACAGTGCTGGACATATTGTTGCATGAATCCATGTGGCTGATAGCAAAGGCCATGGCGGTGGTCCTAGCTCTGGCAAGTTGGCAAGCCATTCATGAAATGGTACTCCAAAAGCTGTGGATTTCAGGATAGTAAGCCATTCTTGCTTTGTTTCCTGGAAAAACTTTTCCGCAAGGTTATGGCAATTTCTCATTTTGTTTAAACGTCTCCAAAAAGATTGAAGCCGTCTCAACTGTTTGATCTGTCTTTTTGTTGGCATTCTGTTGATTTCCAACAAAGGTTCGCAATCCCCATCTCGAGCTTTTTTAACCGCACTAAAAACCGGGGTTCTTACTGGGTTACGCAGGCTTTTCTGAGATGTGAAGTTCCGTTCCCATGTTCATCTTGGGTGCTGCGAAGGCTCACGTCAACAAGGTTATTTCTTTCGCCATTCTTCATGTGTAGTGGCAGGCGGGGTGTGCGTGCTGGCATCATATGCTGCTCGCAGGTCAATGTGACCCAACTGAGTTGGCATCTTCAAGGTCATCTTATGGAGCGTTTCGTGAGGCATTTGTAAACTGAAAAACACCGGGCAGTGTGTTGCAAACCATTCAGGTGACAACACCCGGACATGACCCATGTATGGGATAAGGTGTCGGGATATGATGGCATTAGCTGGTCGAGTAACCCCTTGACATGTGGGCTCCATTTCGTACCCATATTTTTGTTGGTGGAGTTCGATCAAGTCAGCACATCCTTTTTGTTTAAGCACCTCCCATACGGGTAAGTCATTCCATATTGAACAAGGCCATTTGGGGATGATTTCCCTTCTTAATTATGATTCCAGTGAGGTCGCAGTGAGGTCGCTGTGAGGTCGTTATAGTTTACCCAGGTAATATGTGGAATGATCATGATGATGATGATGCTGATGACAACCGTAATAGTGCTGATACTATGAATGATGATAAATTTTAAAAAAAACAGTGATGGTAATAACATGTAATAACGATGATAATAACGATGGTAATACGTTACTAGTAGCAATGATGATAGTGCTAGTAATGATGACGACGATGATCCAAAGTCTACATCTTTTTGATACAGCTAGTGGTCGAAAATTTACCGTAAGTTATCATACAAACACGTGGACTGATCGATGGGTTGCATTGAAAATGGTAATCACCAAAAAAAGATGCCATACAAAGCTGATTATATAAACATGCGGATGTCACTCTTACTAGGTGGGAACTGATATGAATTGAGCAATGAGAGTGCTCCCCTGTGGTAATCGAACATGGTAATGGCAATCTCCACATTAGATTACCAATAGATATCAATTTTCCAAAACTGGTGATTATGCTTTGCGACTGCGGAATGTGCACAAAACTGAAGGGGTATCATCTATTCAGTGACTCTAGTTATGTGAGCATCTACTGGACACCTGGGTCTCTTACACCACAAAAGGTTTCCTGCCGCCCCCAGTTCGATGGCAAGCTACACCAGCAATGGCAATTACCTCAACGGCTTTGATGGTGGCAGCAACATAAAGGGGTTCCTACAATGATCGTGTTAAACTGAACAGATGGAAATGGCACACAGAGGTTGATTTAATGAACATACCCCTGTGATGAAACATGGCAAGCTGGACAACCCCTGTAATTAGAGGTTTTAATGGGAAAATCAACTACAAAGGTTATCTAAGTTCAAGATAGGTGCTTGATATCCAGCTATAAGATAGGTACGCTACGCTTGGTACGCTTGGTGCGCTTGGTACGGTACGCTTGGTGCGCTTGGTACGCTTTGGGTAGGTACGCTTGGTACGCTTAGTAAGGTACGTTTGGTACGCTTACCAACCGTACCGACCGTACCAACCGTACCAGTGAACCGTACCAACCGTACCGTGCCAGATTAAGGGGGGGTCAAGGGGGGGGCGTTTTGGATGTACCTATCTTATCAAGCGTACCAACCGTACCAACCGTACCGTACCACATGTACCAACCGTACCGTACCAAGAAAACCAAACCTACCAGCCGTACGTACCAGACATGTTTGGATCTTACTTAAGGCCTCTACCACCTATCTTGAACCTAGCTAATACAAAGGCTGGATTTTCCATTGAAGAGAATACTCCAACACTTGAGTCACCTGAGACAAGTACCTCTACATGTGATACCAACTAGCATGCTTCAATACCCTCATGGAACCCAGAGCCTAGTGTCTCCTTCAAGGCTTCGTCTGCATTCTGTCTTTGTCTATCTGCTCCCATGGTTGACGCTTAGCATATGGGGATGCACCAGCTATGACTTAGGGTACCTCGGGCCGGGTTTTGACTATCTCCCGTGGTTTATCGAACCCCAACATATCCACATATCATCTCCATGAATGCACATCCCATTATATAGTTAGATACATACGATGCAGTCTACATTTATGAATATTAATGTACATTCTATACTATATACCATTAGTACATCCCTGTGTTGGTCTTCATTATTGTATTCCATTGAATGTATGTATCAATGGCTACAAATACCACTAGCTATAAGTCATGTATATTATTAAATAATATCATATATCACGTGAAGATACATGAACAACTGTCCGAAAAAATGAGTCACCAAAGTTAGTATGTTTTTATGTTATGTAACTGTTTAATATATGTTATAATATATATATATGTGTGTTATATATAGCCACTTTCATCCGTTTTTAAAATGAATTGATACATCTGGGCGTTTCTTAGGTCACAGAGGATCCCACAGCCACCACAAGTTTCAATGCTAAGTCAAGGTCATCCATGACTTGGATGATTTGGGGGAGTACCCCCATGACTTTTGGAAACCCCATATGACTCATTGATTGCTTCTACATTCATATTTCGAGCTGATTGTAAAGCATTATTAACCATACATTCACTAATAAAGTAATATAGAATCCCATAACTTAGGAACCATGACTTAGGAAATCCCATGACTTCCAAAAATCCTTGGGTTCTCCAAGGCCAATCCTCGGCCCTCGGCCAAGGTGCAATGCCAAACCAGGCCAGAGATTTGAAGCTCTGGCCCAGTGCGGCGCTCATTAAGGCAGTCAAGACCTTCAAAGCCAGCGCGTCAGGAAAATCGCTCGAAATGGCACCAATAAGCACAGACAAACCAACGAAGTTAATGGTTGTTTTTGGCATGCGGCTGATACGGCGCTCTTGGAAGGGTTGTTAATTTTGAGATGTGCCATTTACGATCCCTTGGAAGGGTTGCAAATTTCAAAAATGAGGCTTTCCAAAATGGGGGTATAGGTGGCTATAGGATTCTTTAACATGTTGCACATGCTGTCGTATGATCATCAGGGGGGTGGGGTGGGGGGGTGTATTGACGTCCTTGACGAGCACTTCTCTCACGTTACGGAACATGTACACGTTGCGCATGCTGTCGTATGATCATCAGGGGGTGGGGGGGTGTATTAAGGTCCTTGACGAGTACTTCCGTTACGGAACATGCACTCGTTGCACATGCTGTCATATGATCATCAGGGGGGTGGGGGGGGTGTATTAACGTCCTTGACGAGTACTTCCCTTACGTTACGGAACATGTACATGTTGTTGACATGTTGCACATGCTTTCTGACGCGCTTTTGCGTTGTCGTACTGATCATTGCATGCTGTCGTATGATCATCAGGGGGTGGGGGGGTGTATTAAGGTCCTTGACGAGTACTTCCGTTACGGAACATGCACTCGTTGCACATGCTGTCATATGATCATCAGGGGGGTGGGGGGGGTGTATTAACGTCCTTGACGAGTACTTCCCTTACGTTACGGAACATGTACATGTTGTTGACATGTTGCACATGCTTTCTGACGCGCTTTTGCGTTGTCACTGCAGATGGAGCCAGAGGTTTTGCAGCCAGTTGTACCAAGGATTATCACCACAAAAGATTCAAAATGGCCCAAATCAACCACAAACAAAACACCTTTACTAAAGGTAAATCTTATAGAACCATTGTTGCTGTTACTCAACAAATGGATGGAACATGGAAACACCTCAAAAAATGGCAACCTATGTCCGTGCTCCACAAAAAACATCAACAAGTGTACAAAAGAAAATGCACTTGGGCCTACAGCTGGACATGGCGTCACAGTGCTGCCTTGTTGCAGTCTGTGGCTTCTGCGTTACCACAAGCGCTCTGGCACTGAAGCATCAAGAAGAGGAAAAAACTGGAAGAGTGAATGTCGCCCTGATATGATTCGGATGATTGCAAATCATAGATTTCTAATATGTTTTTTCGACCCTTGAAGAGCAAAATCGGGTCACCGCGCAAGCGAAACGTAAATTTTCACTCTTGAGTCACACGCCCGCCAATCGAAATGAATGTCCATGTTGCAAACATTTTTTGAGGACTCCTGCAAATACCCGCATTTTGAACCAATTAAAGTTAATGTTTGTTTGTTGTTTGTTGGTTTGTTGGTTGATTGGTTGGTTGATTTGTTGGTTTGTTTGTTGGTTTGTTGGTTGGTTGGTTGGTTTGTTGGTTTGTTGGTTTGCTGGTTTGCTGGTTTGCTTGTTTGTTTGTTTTTTTCTGGGCTTGCAAACCAACTAAGTTATTTTTTTCTGGGATTCTTTCTGGGAATGCATGGGACTATGTGGAGGTTTTGCAGATAAACCAACGGATATTTTTTTTGGCATGTAACAAGGGTGCCCCATAGTTTGCATGGTTTATGGTAGATATCTATATTATATACTTAGTGGCTGTTGTAAACCAACTTACACCGTTAGGGGGAACCACCTTGTAGCTATAAATAATGTTGTTGGTAGATAAACAATGGTGTGTGAAAGGTATGTGACTATCTTTAACGTGGTAATTATATAAACCCAAAAACTTTGGGCAGATATCAAATAACACCAACTACATTGCTTTCTTGGGATTTGTGCAAGATACGGCAGTTGATCTAAATTCTGTCATCTGCAAACGACCATTGCTCGCAAAGAGAAAACATAATTGTTGGCTGATATGGGAATTGATGGGATTTGATGGGTGCAAGTTTATTGATGGGTTTAGCCTCGGTAATTAAACGTGGGTAGCCGGAAACTCCCTGCACTAAATGGAGGTGTCTAGCTGGAACAATCATCAAACTAATAGGGGATTCAAGGACTTTGTTTACATGATAATATCTACTTTGATCTACTTTGCTTACTTTATGTATGTCTATATCCAACCTATGGAAAAATTTGAATGTCCTAATACGTCGTATATGTCGGTGTCACGAAAAAAACCAATCGAAGCGCCATGACAGTCGATCAAATCCGCCAAGATGATCAATGAAGGGCTTGGTAAATATCTTAAACATCACACAACTGGGATATGTATTTAAAAGATAATTATTATATATCTGCTTGGTGGTTTCAACCCTCTGAAAAATATGAAAGTCAGTTGGGATGATGACATTCCCAATATATGGAAAACTAAAAAAATGTTCCGAACCACCAACCAGATATTTATATATATATACATATATCCAACAGATACGTTTCCAAAATCCCTCAAAAAGGAGGACATTTGCCAACCCTGCCATGGTGCTGGTATCATCTGGTATTGGTATTGAGACTTTAATAGTAAGCTTAAAAGAGACTTATATAAACAATTTTATCTATGATTCTTTTATGATTTCACTATGTCGGATACAATGGAAAATTTTCAGATATGTGTTTTTATGTTTTTTTATGGTTGAATTTATGATTTTTGATGGTGAAATTTATGTTTTTTTTTAATGATTTTTAATGCCGAGAAAAACAAAAAATAATCATAAAAAAGTAAAAAACAAAACATTGAAAAACACATGAAAAAACATTAAAAAAAAAAACAAGATCATAAAAAAAAAAAACATTAAAAATCATTAAAACACAAAAATAACAAACAAATCATAGAGTTATGATTTTTAATGTTTTTTGCGATTTTTTAATGAGTTTTTAATGATGTTTTAATGATTTGTTTAATGATTTGTTCTGATGATTATTTTTTGTTTTTCTCGGCATTCAACATCATTTAAAAAAACATTAAAAAAATCATTAAACAATCATTAAAACGAACCTAAAAATGCCAGCACCAAAAAAAACATAAATTTCATCATAAATTTCATCATATTTTTTCATTGAAAAAATCCAAATCATAAATTTAATCATAAAAAATCATGAATAAAATTAGTTTTAACATAAGGCTCCCTTGCTACTTGTAAAGTCTCAAATCTGGTATCTGCTGGCAGACTTTTACCACAGATTTGTTCATCAACGATGGTGGCTTGCAACTTTGAATCGGGGAAATCTCGTCGTAACTCGTCAGCAAAGTGACGGATCAGTAGGGTCACGCAAACCAAAAAAAACGACGCCTGGCCTTGTGATTTAGTCATATTTAGTCGTGATATGTCGTGATCATAGCGAGCTGCTTTTTCTAACTCTTTGGGGAGTGATTTACAAGAGGACTTTTGTCATGAATGCTGTGCAACAAAAAATTGCATCAAAATTATCTGCTTTCCTCTCCGAAACTTCCTAGGACTGATTCTGTCATTTTCATTCATTTTCGACGTATGACTCAGTTCTGGACTGGACAAAGGACACCAATGATGGAATTGAAGCCGGCACCGATGTACTTCAACGAAGTTGTATTCCTTGGGCTGGCAGGTCATTTTGGCTGCCTCAAAAAAACACGTTTCAAATGGGGATACAATTCCGAAAGCCACCAAACCAGGCATAGGGATGATAGTTTCAGGGAACAAATATGTGATTTTGATTTCCATTATAGGGATGCAACCCGTTTGAAAGCTGGGCTGACCTTGGCTCACAATGGCACGCGTTTCGTGATTCAAACACATCCCAAAAAAGCAGGTTTGCCATCTCAGGTTTGCCATCTCAAAATATCTGGCTGTGTCTGAAAAGAGGGCACCCCAAACCATATGATTGATCATCATTTTCCTACCAGTTAAAGCCATTTAATTTTATGGATATACCGTGGTATACCCCATTTTCAGACACAGCATGACACCGTCAGTCCTTTAGCGTGCAGCAATCAGGAGCAATCCAATATATCCAATCTGTGCAAATGGTTTTGTCTGAAAATGAACTAATTATACTAAAATCCTATGGTTTATCATCATGCCACATCTATGATTCTTGGGGCTACGTGCCATTTTCACACAAAGCCTATGCAAATGGGAGCTCCATGCTGCAGAGTTTCATGACAACATTGGCAGTTTGGAGGACCGCAATGGGCAAAATCCGTCTGCCATACCAAGCCGCATCCTTAACCAGCTCCTCCTGCCAGTTGGCGGTGGCTAATCTCACGAATCCTAAGTAGGTTAAAAAAAATGGTTGGGATACTTAGGATTGTTGATTCATGTTAATATAAACTAGGGATAATCCTGGATACTTAGGGCTACCCTTCGGTAAACTAACATAGCTATTGAAAATTGCCATAAATAGTTGATTTACCAGCATGGTGATGTTTCATAGTTAAGTTATGTTAGTTTACCAGAGGGTATACCTACCATAAACCCCACATTTCACCATGGTAGTTAATGATATATCCATCTAGTGTCCTAGTACCATTGGTGCCATTGAGATAAATCCTAGTCACCATAGATAATCCATGTTTATCCATGTTAATCCACTAATCCACTAGGTTGAACTCAAGATTCGTGGCTACCGCCATGAGTGGGCTGTGCGTTTGTGCGTTCTACATCTTTGTAGGCAGGGATGGAGTTTCCACAACAACAACAACAACAACAACAACGACAACAACGACGACGACGACGACGGCGACGACGACGACGACGACAACGACAACGACAACAACAACAACAACAACAACAACAACAACAACAACAACAACGACAGCGACGACGGCAACGACGACAATGACAACGATGACAACGACAACAACGACAACGACAACGACAACAACAACAACAACGACGACAACGACAACAACGACAACGTCGACAACGACAAAAACGACAAAAACCACAACAACAACAACAACAACAACAACAACAACAACCACAACCACAACGACAACGACAACGACAACGACAACAACAACAACAACGACGATAACGATAACGACAACGACAACGACAACGACAACAACGATGACAACGACAACAACAACAACAACAAGAACAACAAGAACAACAACAGCGACGACAGCAACGACAACAATGACAACGACGACAACGACAACAACGACAACGACAACGACAACAACGACAACAACGACGACGACGACGACGGCGACGACGACAACGACAACGACAACCACGACGACGACGACGACGACGACAACAACAACAACAACAACAAAACAACAACAACAACAACAGCAACGAGAACAACGATAACGACAACGACAACCACGACGACAACGACAACAACGACAACGACAACGACAACGACGACAATGACGACGACGACGACGACGACGACAACAACAACAACAACCACCACAACCACAACCACAACCACAACCACAACCACAACCACAACAACGACAACAACGACAAAAACGACAACGACAACAACAACAATTGGGTTTAAGGGTTTGTCTGAAAATCGAAACCGCATTCCATCCATTGGTTAATCAACATGTTACCCATCAAGGGGCATGCCCCATTTTCAGACAAACCAAACTCATGTGGTAAACCCAATGCCATAAACCTACCACTTTGGGCATGGTTGAAATCCCATCATAATAATGATGAATTTGGGGGCAGTTTATGGCATTGGGTGAACCCCACTTTTCACCCCAGTTCCTTCGCAGAAAATTGGGCCAAAGTTCACCATGGCAGGAACAAAAGTCACAGCATGTTGTCTGGTGGAATTCCATAGATTCATTCATATTCATCCCTTCCCGGTACTAACAACTCCAGCTGTGGGGATATTTGGCAAGAGGAAGGGATTCATTCGATTCAATAATATTCAATGTAATTCCGCACTTCACCTGACATATCTGACATCTTAGCTTCAAATATGCTTGGAATTTACCCTCTGGTCATTTGACATGGCTATGGAAAATCACATTTCTTAATGGGAAAATCGAGTGTATAAATGGCAATTTTCAATAGATATGTTAGTTTACCAGAAGGTATGTGATTCGCCCCAATCCTAAGCCTCTTTTTGGTGAAGTCGGCCACATCTCCATCGCGACACCACCGTCCTTGTCAACAACGTAACGCTTCCAATCCTTGTGCTTGGCGCTGGGAGAAATCGGAAGGAACCCTGGGTGAAACCATGGGTTCCCCGCAAAACAGGGCTTCAAATTCAGAAATCCATATAGAAAGTGAGAAAATCCACCAGAAGTCATTGAAATTGGGTGCTTTGCGCGCAGACAATCTTCAGAACCATCATGTTCCCTTCAAGACTATGTCTTCCCCAAGGGCATATGGGTGTTTCTCAAAATTGGGGGTATCTGATTTCACCTTTTTCAGGATCGTTTAAAGGGGTCCAGCATTTTCAAGAGATCACACCCTTAACCGCCTTAACCCATTAAGCACCCATTAAACCCCCATGTTTCTCCAAGCTGAGGAGGCCACCACACGCGTCATGAAGGAGCTCACCAGCCACACCAGGGAAAAGTGCACAAGAGCCTCATGGCTCGACTCCAACATCGAAAGGTCATCCCGGAGTTCAGAGTTCAAGGCCCTCTTCACATCCAACCCCCAAAGGAAACCATATGGTTTTTATACGTATAGTTGGGGACGAAAGTAAAATGGATGAATGGAGTTGTTTCATCATTGGGATACTTGGTAGTTCGCCACAGTAAAACCAACCCAAAGAATTCCACCAACCCACCAACCCTCCAGCAGTTTGGTGACCCAATACTTCTGGGTGATCAACCCATCTCCGGGCTCCATGCAATGCACGTAGGATAGGGAAAGCCATGTTGCAAGACCTCGTGGTGCAGTTGGCGCGAACCAACCGACTGACAGGGAACCTCCCAAGTCTCCATCGGCAAAATGCAGGGGGAGAACTCATGGAAAGCCTAAAACAGATTACTGTACTTCTAATGTGAAACCATGAACGAAGTTCACCCCATCAGCACATTGTACATTTGTACATTACTCCTATACTCTTCCTGATTTGGGGGCACTTTTAGTGCGGTATGTATACTTGATGGCTCATCTCACTTACTAAGTAGGTTATATCCCTGGTTATAAGTAAGATAACAAAAAAAAAGCTTATATAATCCACTTATAACTAGGGTTGTACTGGGGTAGTTATAACCGTATAACCTACTTAAAAGTATGAACCACCAAGTATGTCTAAAATGGTGTATGACTCAAGCCGAGCAAAGACGTGATATGGATCACTTTCAAACTTGATCAAATGAATGCAACAGAGCAGTGGCCCACGCACCTTGAACTTTTTGGACACACTGCTCATGGCGTGGGGCGAGCAGTATCTTCGATCTGATTGATTTCTCGAAAATCTACAGAGCAGATGACAGGGCAAAAACTGATGTTCGTTCATACCAAGATCCTCATACCTGAACAGCTAACACTGACCTTTCACAGATCATGTCGAGCTGACTCAAAGGTTAGAGAACACACTAAGGCATGAACAAACGACCCCTTCCTCAAGGCTGAATCAAAAATTCTGCGTGCACACTCATCAATCTAAGAACTCTTCACGAGAACTCCGAAATGGTCAAAGGGTGAGCGAGCAGCAGCAAGCCTCACCCTGTACAATTCGTACAGGGCGGGCTGGGTTGGGAGATTTCAGCCTGGGAGTGATCAGATGAACTTGCGCCAAAATGGCACGAGAGTGCTGGCAGTTCCTCAGTGATCACCACGGGATGAACTTCACACAGTATAAAGATATAAAGAAATATGAACATATATAAAATAAATAAATCAAATCAGAATCGGATTTCCACGATCAAGCTTGAACAAGCTCTTCAGAGTCACCTTCCTGTCCCAGACCTACCTAACCGATGACATGAAATCGACTCAAGCCGAGCAAAGACGTGATATGGATCACTTTCAAACTTGATCAAATGAATGCAACAGAGCAGTGGCCCACGCACCTTGAACTTTTTGGACACACTGCTCATGGCGTGGGGCGAGCAGTATCTTCGATCTGATTGATTTCTCGAAAATCTACAGAGCAGATGACAGGGCAAAAACTGATGTTCGTTCATACCAAGATCCTCATACCTGAACAGCTAACACTGACCTTTCACAGATCATGTCGAGCTGACTCAAAGGTTAGAGAACACACTAAGGCATGAACAAACGACCCAGGCCCGAACATGCCTACTTCAAGGCCGACGGCCAGATCACTTGAACAGTCTGCCATCCTACCGCTTCGCCTAAATGGAGTTTGTTACGGGAAGGCCAATCAGCTGGGTTGGCGTCTGTCGAAACTCTATCGATGAACACTCTAACTCGCAGCTGAAAAGCTAGGTCCCAAAACACTGAAATGATATGGCAAAGATCTTCTTTGCTTGAGTATCCTTTGATCAACGCAGACTCCACGGCTTCCGAATCTATGAGCAACAAAATGTCTGCACCTCGGATCCGATCAGCGAAGGTTTCCATCGCCAAGACGGCAGCGATCAACAATCTGAGTGCTGCGGGTGAGCCACCTGTTTTTCACTTCCTCAGGCACTACAGCAGTGAACTGCTGAGGCCTGCGGGAGCGCCGATCAAACAGGACTGCACCAACACGATCGGGCAGCTTCTCTGCAGAGCGAGGATCCGGGGTGAATCCATCCGTGAAGATCACCGCGTCTGAGCACTTTTCGCCGACCATGTCAATAGGCCGTGGGGGACCATGCTGAACAAGCTTCTTCCATTGCAATAGAGCCTCACGCAAGGGCGGGTCCAGCTTGAACTCTGAGCCGATCGGGAAGCGCAAGTATTGCCGTTCCGAGATCACTCTGAGAAATGCACGGCCTACCTTGCCCCATAGCTGCGAGGCACCAAACATGAGCTTGCCTTTCAGCTTCCCCGCAGAGCCCGGATCCAGTAAACCAGAGGCCAAGATCGCGTCGATTTCGCTAGAGAGCTCTTCTTTCCGATCGGCCTTGATCTCCAGTTGCATAAGCTCCAGGTTGTAAGTAACGCCCAGGATCGTGGGTGACCTGGATAGCTGCAGCTTCTTCTGATCAAACTGGGCGCCTAGCCAGAAGTGAACACTCTCAGCGATCTGCTTGGCGCTGGCCACTGTCGAGGCCGGCTCGAAGCCGTACTTATCATCATAGAAACTGAAAGCGAGCAAACCAAACAAAGAGACCAAGATCTCGTTGATCGCAGCAGACCTTCTATTGTAGTTATAGACAGCAGATACCAGACCAAAAGAATGACCCACCATGATGAAGAAATGAGGGGAGCCAACCTCAGGGTTCTTCAAGCAAATCACAGAAAACTTCCTCTGATCAGGTCTCACTGCCACTTGGCGATAAGCTTTTCGCTCGTCAAGGACCCAACCGCAGAGAGCTTCTTCCGGCTTCAACGAGCGTAGACGCCTCAGTGCAGCCACATTAGAGTCCGTTGACGGCAGCTGGAGCTTCTCAGAGATCTCCGTGACTTGGTTGATCATGTTGGTGGTGGCGCTGTCGCATTCACGAACCTTGTTCTTCTGGACTACCTCAAACCTTTGCGTAGGGATCCAGTCTTCGCAACCCAAGATCTTGGACACTTCACTTTCGGACGCAAACGGTCCCAAACATGAGCCTTCATTCGCATCCTCGAGCGATGCCTTCCAAATCTTGATCAAATTCTGTGTGACAGGTACTGCGTGGACACGGTTGACAATCTTCCGCCTCAGATCCCAGGCCCGCTTCAATGCCTCCTCCACGGGGACGACCTTCTGAGTCTTCTCGTAGGGAGGCCACCGGCCGGTCGGGGCGATCGGGCCCACGATCGGGAAGCCATGCAGAAGAAATTGAGGGAGCTCCATGTCCACTGAGCGCACCTCACGCAGCATTTCGGCATAGAGCTCAATGTGACACACTTTCCCCAACTGCGGCGCCTGATCTTCAGGCGCACCCAGAAGTAGACGGCGTAGAGCAGGATCAGGATGACGCCGGATCAGAGCCACTGAGCGGGGCAGCAGTGCACGAGCCCGCTGTTCCCAAAATTGCAAAAGCTGGGCACGCTCGTGCAGGATAACAGATGCATCACGCTGCAGCCTGACCAAAGCTCGGCACGACTGATCATCCAGAGGCACGCTCTGAGTGAAAGGGTGTGGCACCCGGAGCGCAAATTCAATCGCCTGGCCCGGCTCGAGCTCAAACTCAAAGACCTGGAGATGCCTAGGTTGTATTTTATACAACCCAAAAAATAAGATACAACCTAGGGTACAAAATAACAACCTGGGATGTATGTATACCTGCCCCCTGGGATATGCATGCCCCCTGGGATGTATACATGCCCCCTGGGATGTATATGCTGCCCCCGGGGATGTATGTATACCTGCCCCAGCATATGCTATATACCTGCATGCTGCTGCCTATGATCCATGTCCCCATGGGATGGTCTATTTCTAGAATAGTATAAAACAGAACTGCCCACAATCATGATCAGCTTAACGATTTTAACTTGAAGAGGTAATTTGAATCACAACCTTGGACCAACTTGAACTGAAATTCAAACAGCAAAGCTACATTACCCCTGCAAAACAAATTTCTTTGTTTTGCCCAAGTGAAGCTCAAGAGAGAACATCTAATTTCTGTTTGTGCAGGTGCACATGAAAACTGAAACAGCAACTGAATTTCCAATAACATATGAGCACCAGCTGCAGTGAATACTTTCTCTGCAAACGAATGGCCTTATTTTCTTTCTGTTTAATATACTGCAGCTGAAGGTGAAGTCTTAATCTGCAAGCTAGGGAGTTTGCAGTTTCCTGTGGCATCACTAATTCTGTTTTCTCTGCAATTGCCTTCGTGGATTTCAATGCAGGCAACTTTTTAGTTGTTTGTACTGCAGCAGCTGACCTTGAAATCTTAATTTTTTAACGAATTTCCAAGACTAAGACCAATGGGAAATTAAGGCATGGCAGGGGCAGGTCCTCTTGGTTGAACCTTGCGAAGAAAGAATTGGCATTTTTTTGGCAGGCAAAAAAGGCAGGACCACTGCCTGCAGAACAAACATTGCCAAACATCGGGCCAAGGCCATTGTCAAACAGCGCCAAAACTGTTTAAGTGTGCTGAAGGGTGTGTCCCTTCAGCACTGCTCCACCTGCCAAAGCGCAGATTTGATCCATATGGTTTTGAAAATAGGAGGAAAAATCAATTGCAGTTGCTGAGCAAATGGTTTTGCTCAAACCAACTTTGCATGCCGACTGCAGCACACTTAGACTTGTGCTCGCGCGTGGGGAAAAAATGAAAAAGAATCAGCAACTCCCACATATGTGGGATATATATTTTTAATATATATACACATGTTGTTGAATTATACAGTGTTGCTGATTCTTGATATACCATTTATGTGTATATATATATATACAACTAAAGATTCTTATGCACGAGTGATTCTGTTTTGATTTGCTTGGGCCAATATTTGTGCGATTTTGTGCATATGTTTTTTTTGAGACATTGATTTGTGCGCCGGCCGCTCGCCATGCATTCCGCAGCTAGGTATAGGCAGGACACATGTGCACATGCCTGTTTAAACAGGGATTGCCAAGATGCAGCAATTAAGGGCAATATAATGTATATATATAAATATACATCATTGACGGTGGATAAGTAGACTTCAATTAATGCAGATGCCGTTTATACACCTTAAGTTTGATGCTGTTGGTTTGTAGAAGTACAGGTTGCACATGCAGATTACTTTGATGCAACTTGAAACAGTTTTTGATGTTTGATCTATTGGCCATCCATTGCCCTGGAGCTGCTATATATGGGCAGCACATTGCAGTGCTGACGCGCATCGCAGTGCTGACGCACAGGACTGGACAGCTGTGCTGCATGTTGCAGTTGATTTTTGATCCAGTTTCTTTAACATTGTGACTGCATTGACTGGGACTTTTCATTATTCGCAGTGCTTTTTGGCACAGTTTTCCGAGGCATGCACATGCCTGCCTGGGTGCCCCTTTGCACAAGTCACATCGAAAGTTTAAACAGTCATGAGCATGCCATGAACAACACTATGAGACCGCTTCAATATAATTGATCGCCTGCCATGATGAGTGCCATGGATATCTTCAAGCTCCGCCGGGCTCGCCACACGAAGTGGGTGGAGCAGTACCTGATTGATCAAAGGCTGAAACCCTTGGAGCCTCCAGAAATCGCTGTGCTACGTAAAGATCGAGAAGTGCCCTTGCCACATCTTAAGATTTTAAGATCAGACATTATTTTGTTCCTTTGTGTTGCAGATTTGATTTTTTGTTTGGACCTACTCTGGCCCATACAAAGTTTCTTCACATATTTTGCATTGAATCCAAGGCAATGGGCATGGAAAAGGGCTTGACTGATGGAGAGATGAAGTGGTTGGGCTGGGTGGAGGCTGATGCCCTTCTCAATGGGCTCAATCACATCCTTACCGACAACATGGGTTACTTAATGCTTTCAAACTGGACATGTACCATTTTGCTATGTTTTGCATTTATGGGGATCAAAAAAAGTAATGTTTTGCTGACTGGTTGAAGTTTTACCTTTTGTTCAACCCACACTCATATGGCCGATCGTACATATGCAAAATCTGAGGTGCTGTGACCCGTATCTTGCAGCTGCTGGATGAGAACGACAAGGCCCTGCGCTACATCGAGCAGCTCAATGAGAAGATCGATGATCAAAATATGACAATTGAGACGCAGGCCCATGTGCTGCGCATGCTTGGCTGGCCGACATTGGTCACTGAGGAGGAGTTTGAAGTCATTGAGATTGAGGATGCCGAGCCAGTGACACAGCAGCCCGTGCAGCTGATGGATGTGGCCGATAGTGACATGGACGAGCATGCGAAGACAGCCATGGATGATCTGAAGACAACCGTTGATGAGCAGCCAAAGAAAGATGTGAAGACAGCCGTTGATGAGAAGACCGTTGTTGATATCAAGCAGCCAAAGACAGATGTGAAGACAGCCGTTGATGAGAAGACCGTTGTTGATATCAAGCAGCCAAAGACAGCCGTTGATGAGCAGCCCAAGACAGCCAACAAGATGGGTGGTAAGCCAAAACTGGCCAATGTTAAGGTGGCCAAAACGGATGGGAAGACGAATCTGGCCAAGGTGGCCAAAACAGATGGGAAGACGAATCCGGCTAAGGTTGCCAGCAAGACCAATGGCCCGAAGCCAGCCATCAAGTCCACGGACAAGCAGAAGCCCAAAGTGGATGAGGAGATGAATATGGATCCAAAGCATTCCAAAGTTGCCAAAACTCAGCAGCCTCATGTGCAGCTGCCTGCCAAGAAGGCCATGCCGAAGCCACGCGAAAAGCTGGCAGACAAAGCGGACAATTCGGTGAAGTGTGTGCTGCAAGATAGCAAGCTCAAGGTCAAGGTTGTGCCGCCTCGACTTAATTTTATTAAACCAAAGGTGATTCCACCCCGCAGCCAAATTATCAGTGACTGTGGAGGCACAGGGGCGGAAGAGAATTGGAAGTGATAGCCCCCAAACAGCTATATCGATCCAAACATAAGAACAGCAGTCCCTTAGATTTGATTTCATATCTCTTCCTACCCAAGCCGGCCGGTGGATTTTTCAAGGACTTTGGAATAGCCTGAACCAGGCTGTGATATTCAGAGCATTGCATCGGTGGGGCATAGCTAAAACCAAGCTGTGCAAATTTTAAGCAATAGCCCGAACCAGGCTTTGCACCATTTTTCAGCAGTGGAGGCTTATAAGTTATGAAATCGTTCATTTCTCTCGGTTTCTGCACTTAGTGATTTCAAACGTACTTCAAGTGCACTTCAAATGTCTCCACATCATACAGGCATACAGCTTGAAACTTTGAAAAGCACCCACGTCGAGATATGCTGAATTAAAAGCATGGTTCACTGCGATGCATGATTGTGTGATGTTCGTTGTTCATTGCCAGTGTCAAGATTTTAAAACATTTTTTGCAGACTGCAATAAGTTTGTGATTGATCCATGTGTGCAGGACCTGGGGCAATCATCAGCTTAGCAGGCCAGTCATATTTGCGACATTGCAGTTTTTAGGAATTCAATGCAATCTCAATAGTTTGATCAGAACTTGAGAATTCCAGTCTTCTATGCGCTAGACCTTTTGTCCAAAGAGATATGCGCGCACTGACATGCGCCATGTTCATGGCAATGTGATTCGTGAGGATTTGTGTTGGCGACTCCCAGTTCTGATTCTGATCAATTTGATCTTTGAGGACAGGTAATGCCGAACTCATGCCAATGTACAGCTATGCAAAATTTCCACCTAATGTTCATGTTCTTGAATCATCATTTGTATTTGCAGGATCCCTGTGACTGTTCACTATTTGTCGCAGGCCGGGACTGTAGACAATTTCTGCAAACAAGTTAGAACTGCTTCCCATGCCATGTCTCCCTTGTCTAGCTCCTGACACTGCTGCTTTCATGTATTTCCAGACATGTTCAGGACCTTTGGACGTGACAAAGGATCAAGATTGCAACTGTTTGCATTTGGACCTCTAAGGACCGTGTGTGTAAACTGTTGGAATGTGTCATGCTGTGTTTGAAGGCTTTGCCAACACACTAATTGCAATGATTTTTCGATGTTATATGTCATGCATATGCAGGACTCTGGCAGGGCACTTTCTTGAACCTGCGCTTTACAGGACAACAAATGTCATTGTAGCCAGATTGCTTCATTGTTTGGCATATGTTCACTGTTGTGTGGTATGTCATGGTATTAATATATGTCATTGCAGGATTGGCTATAGTGCTGCCAACCTTTGAGTTTCAGTGCTGCACCACTTTGCAGGACATGTTTGATTTCTTGTGACCACTGGGCGGTTGATTGCATGTTGCAGAGGTTTCAGGCAGTTTTTTCAATGCAACGTTTTCTTCTGCATGCACATGCAATGCAGGACCTTGAGAAGTGGAATGGTATTTGGTTTGACCACAGGCCTTCATTGACTATTACAACACTTCCAGACAATTGTGTGCAATGCAATTGTGGTTCCATGGGAGATGTATTGCAGACCCACTGCAGGCGAATTGCGAAGTGGTTTGAACCGCCGACATTGAGCGCATTTGCGCAATTGAAGGCCAGCATTGTCACTGTAAGTCGGCAAGGTTGACACACGTTTTAACACACACAAATCTTTATATATATATGTATACTTCAATGCTATGATTCTGACCATATGCTGCAGGACCAATCAACGGCTTCATCTTCTTAAGAAGGCCGATGCAATTATGAGCAGCTTCAGTCATGGTTCCAGATCTGGTAGCAGCACAGTTCACAATGAACAATGGTGCAACTGTGATGTAGCATATAGTGGACTGCGAGGACAAACCAGTGGGAGTTTCAAGTTTTTTCGTGACCAGCTGTGTGTCAATAGCATGTGTGGAAGGTACCTTTCTGATGACAAGGAAGAAACGACTGATTTCAGGCACGGTCAAGATAAGGAGTCAAGTTGGTCTTGATGACACTGCAGACATGTTGCCATCAACGTATTTCACATGTCTTCACATATCCATGGCTGAATGTGTTTGAGAGCCAGGCACATTTACAGCTTCGATCATGTGACTTGCAATTTTTTGCTGACTTCTCTGTTGGTGTGTGATCATTGACATGCAATGCTGGAGACATTTTGTAGCTCAAGATTTCTCCAGATGGGGAGGCCATCTGGAACTACTGAAACGATTTTGTCAAAGGAAGATGTGCTGAGCTGTGCGGGAAGAGTAGAGATCTCCCAGAAAATCAATGACCTGGTGACAAAAGATGCAGTGAAACTCTTTTCAAAGGCATCATCGCCTGACGTTGTGATCAGCAGACAAATCCTTGGAGATTCACTGTGGATCTTGGAGACGCTTGTGGTGGCAAGCCCAGTGAACATTGTTCACACAGACTCGTACTTTGACTGAAGTTAAGGGTCATGAAGTTTTGCATATATATAATATATATATATAATACATATGTTATATACATATTATATATATATAAATAAAATATAAACATATATTATATATTAAAATATATACAAATATTGTCAAAGGAAGTTTAGAAGTGAAACTTCCGACAATATGGGCAGTTGAAAAGCAGAGGTGGGAAGAGTCAGAAGAGAAAAGATCAGAAGAGAGAAGATCAGAAGAGAAAGAGTCAGAAGAAAGAAGATGCAGATGCGCGAAAAGGTAGGAAAGTCGCGAAACACAGTGTTTTTCCAATGATTTGTGGCTCCGGAGGGTCGAAAAGTAGGCTCGCTAAAGCGGCAGGTGCGGAGCCAGCTGGCCAGATGAGAGATGACAAAGTGCACGCCGTTGTGGCGCGAAGCACATTTCGAAGTCAAAAGTGTAAAAAAACTGAGGGTTTTGAGCCTTTTTTGACGTTAAGATGTCGAAAAAGTAGACACTGATTAACTTAACTAACTTGACTAACTTAACTAACTTAACTACCCTAACTTCCACGACAACAGCAGCAGCAACAACAACAACAACAGCAACAACAACCACAACAACAACAACAACTACAACTACTACAACTACTACAACTACACAACAACTACAACTAGAACTACACCTACAACTACAACAACTACAGCTACAACAACAACAACTACAACAACAACAACTACTACTACTACTACTACAACTACAACTACAACTACACAACAACTACAACTAGAACTACAACTACAACAGCTACAGCTACAACAACAACAACAACTACAACTACAACTACAACTACTACAACTACTACAACTACACTATACACAACAACTACAACTACACAACAACTACAACTACAACTACAACAACAACTACTACAACTACAACTACAACAACTACAACTACACAACAACTACAACTACAACTATATGACTGCAACTACACTACACTAATTACATTACACCACAACTACAACTCCACTACGCTACAACTACAACTACAGTTGCAGTACATCACACTACATCGAGCAGTTGTGGGTGAGGTGACCACTGCAACCATTGCAACCACTCCAGCAAACACAACTCCAACCACCTTTCGGTCAATCAGTGGCTTCGCTCTGCCATCCCTGATTCACAACAACCAACGTCTCCTATAGGTTTCCTATTCTGAACCTTCCGCCACCGCCTTGTGCGGTACTACTGGTAAATCATAAAATTAATAATCATAGTAATAATATATATATATATAAATTAATTACATAAAATATGTATATGTATATATATATATATATTTATTGATTAATAAATATTATTAATAATAACAATAATAGCAATAATAATAGTAAAATCACTACTAATAAGAAAATAAAAATGTAACAACATATATATTGGTTGCAACTTCAGGCTGAAAGTGGAAACCTGCAACCTGAGATCTTGCGGCTTGATATTCATTCAGGATTGTTGCACTTCTGGACATTGTGGTCAACAAGATCACAAACAATGTCCCTTCGGCAGTGCTTCAGCTCTTGGCCTTGGACCTTAAGGCATTGATGCAGAGACATGGTTGCAGCATACAAAAGGCATTGATCACCTGCATCATGGACATGATTTTATTTTGCTGAATCTCAGGAACCTAAGAAAGGTGAGGCGCAGCTGGAAGCACATTCAGAAGAAGAACGATCTTCCAGGCTGGCCACAAGCTGCCCTACGGTACCCAGAGATTTTGAAGGTTGTTGAGATCATGCAAGATCCAGAGGGTGCCGACGATAGCCAAGATACCGAGGCAGGGATTTGCAATTGTCAATTCTTTTGTTTTTTCATCACCAACTTAAGTGTCTAATTTATATTATTTAGAATTATTTGGCATGCAGGCCCAAGATGTGGCAAATGCTTGGGGGCTGGCAGATGTTGATATCAAAGCAGAGTCAATAGAGGATCGCCTGAAAGCAAAGAGAGCTTTGGTTGCAGTAATTTGTGTCTGCGATTTAACCTGTGATTTCCCATGCACTTGCAGATCCTCTGACCTTGAGTTGAACACCTTTTGCTGAGGAAAGGAGGTCATTGCAGACTTATGTGACAAAGTTGTTTTTCTGGACACTGACGATGAGGCATGCGCATCAAGATGCAATCGTTGAACCTTTGAGAAAGTTCCACGTGATTATAACAAGTCAGATTGCAGACCAAGGCAATGGAGGTGCCCATGCCAGCTTCCCATGAGACATCTCGAACCTTGAAAGATATATCAAATATGTATATCCAAATATGTAGCCCACCTATGGATAACCTAATGAGATGTGCTGTACAACTACAGTGTTTGCCCAGGGACATATATGTCCATGCCGCAGGACACAGTGAGCACAGATTGCCTACCGGTGCAGGACCAGTTTAGTTGGATTGGTTTTACATAAATGTTTGCAGTGCAATGCACAATCATTGACAATGTGTGATTGAATCATACTTCTGCAGGACAGGCCAAGCTCTGCATCAGCAGCTCAGTGTACCAAGGCTAGGGATGCACAAAGCAACATAGAGAAACTGTTTACTGTTTTCTTTTGCAGGAAGCACCTGTCATTTGTCTATATTTTGCAGGAAGATGATGGAACACCAATTGGCTCCAAGGAGTGCGATGTTCTGTTCACTGGCATGTGACATTGTGCACGTAATCTAGCTGTTGTGAAGGCTATGGAACCCCTGCATGCAAGGAAGATCTGGTGGCCAGAGATTCGGGAAGAGAGGCTCGAGAATGAGTTGAAGGTTGCTGTAAATGGGTAAATATTTGAACTTAACGTTTCCTTTTGCAGGCAGAGGGAGGAAACGCAATGGAGCCATGTACTTTGGAGGACATTGTCACTTGAGCTTCATTGATGCAATTTCTTGAGCTTGCTTGTGCTGCATTTTTCCTGCCTGATTGATGCACATTTGGTCTTTGAATTTGATCTTGTATGGCAGCCATGCTGCTCAGTCATGCATGCAAGGCTATGCAAGGCAACATTGACTGTGCCGCCATGTTTGATGCAAATCAATAAATATGTTTACAACTGCTACTATACACACACATATATATATATATATACATTATACATATCATACATATTTGTATACCATATACATATACATTCATATACACATAAACATGTACATTTGCACGCGAAAGGATCCTCTTAAGTCAAAGACGCCATGGCAAATACATGGTGGTACCAGGGGTACGGCATCCCGTGGCCCCTCATTGCCCGGCCCACAATGGGTCAAGGTCGTGGTCGGCCTGGCATCGACTATTCGTTGGAACTGACAATGCTGGATTCAACAGGCGGCAGTTCATCTGACCAGCCAGAGGGCACCGCAGCTGATCAGCGGGAGCAAAGCAAGACTGACCAGCCAGACAAGGAGACTTCAGACCAGTTTACAGATGATCAGCCGGGGACAGACATGGACAACTCTGCAGCACAGCCGGACAAAAAGGATCTCGAGGGCACAACATGTGATCAGCCCGATGAAAAGAAGCCATTGGAGGAGGATGCGAAGCCAGATGTGGAGGAACCAATGGCAAAGAAGCAGAAAGTGGGCCGTGCTGTTGCATAGCAACGATCCAGATTCCAATCAATGCCGATGGAGAGTATAAAAATGAGCTACATGCAATTGCTTGCATACAAATCATGCAAAAGTGAATGTTGGAGTTGGCAATCTTGGCAGTCCATTCTTGCAGCTGTTCACAATGTGTGCCTGCAGGATGGCTCTATGGTAGCACCAGAGGCTGGGCAGTTTACTTTCTATATAGGTGTTTGACTTTGTGCGCAGCGCTTTTTTGAATCACAAGTTAGCATCATGCAATATCATGCATGCATGAAAGGCATTGCCATTGCAGTCTGGAGAGCCGTCAAAGGACTGCATATCAATAGCACTTGATGGCAGGAGTTGCTTGGACTTGTTGGATTTTTTTCTGAACTTTTCTACGCTTGTCCATTCCATCATTCTTGCACATGCAGGAGGTTGAAGCGAAGCACCCTATGCCAGAGGACTGGTTGTGCGCGTATCCGCTGAAATCACAAACTGATATCATTCCATTTGAATAGAAACGTGAGACGTCGAGGTTTACAAGCCCTAAGGCATGCATGCAGGGCATCAAAAACTTTGAGTTGCTTGAGTTGCTGCAGGAAGCACTGGACTTGCGACATTCATATCATATTTGTCCACCATACTTGATGGTGCCCCATTGCAACTTCAGCAAAGTTCTTGTTTCTTTGATGCAAGCTTATGTTGAATATACAACACAAAGCTTTGACACATGACAGATCACAATTGTGCGCAGGATGTAGCTGCCGAGATGGAAGAGAGACCCCCACCTCCAGTGCTTCCCAAAAACCAACGTGGACTCAATGCCGAACTCAAACAAGAGAAGAAAGATAGGAAGAGACAACCTGAGAATGCAGAGGGAGATCAGTACTGCATGAAAATCCACAAGCGGAAGTTGAAAAATGGGCAGATGAAGTTTACGTATGCAATTGCCAGGAAGGATACAAATCAGCAGATAGTGCAACTCACTCAAAATGCCAAAGCAGATGCAGACGTCGTGATCGATGCCATGGTCAAAGATCTCAATGCTGGAAGCATCACAGCTGATGCAGCAGTTTCAGCAATTGATGCACTGAAGACGTCGTCATAGATGCATGTGAATGCTTTGCTTTGATTGCCCATGCATGGGTCAAAGGATCCATGGTTTGTTGCATACGCAATGATTTGCAGTATACGAATCTTGCACATACTTACATTTTGATGTGCCTGACATTGCCTGACTAGTCTGACCAGACTTGGAAGGCATTGAAGCACAGTTTTGGGCCGAGCATTTGAAAAAAAGTACATACCAATGTTGTGCAATGGTTTCTTGTACTGTTCTGTATAGCTGGAGACTTTTCCTGTCATTCCTGTTTGGACATCATGCAGTCCAGCTCCATATTGTGGAATCATTGCAATCTGACTGGAGGCCGTGATGCTTTGGACAAGACCCAGTGCCCCACTGACTGACCGTCAGAGTCAAGTTGGCTTTTTGCATTGTTTGCATTGCACTTAGATATGCGCTGCATCCACAGTCATTGTTGGTTCATTGGTGAAATTTTGACACCAGTGCTGGAGTTCCAGGATGGCACAATCCTCATGCATCATGCAGACAAAGCATTAATCGCGAATGGATCATGTTCCATGCCTATAATAATCAACTGCATGGACATATAGCTAACTAGCAAATGTATTCACGCATCTCCTCTAGAGAAAGGTTTCCGCCCAAATAGTTTTAGATACAGAGATTGGTGTCCACGGCTCTATAAAGCTATGACGCCTCCATCTTTGCTGGCCCATGCACTTGGTCAATGTGATCACTTGGCAGTGCGGGAACTTTTTGGCATGGTGCACTACAAAGTGCCCCCTTCTGTGATTGAACTCTGCTTGTGGTGCTTCCTTTGGCGGCAGTTCCATACTTTTGATTCTTGGCATATATATATATATATGTATTTATATATTTATATATGTGTATATATTTATATATATATATTTATTTATTTATTTATATTGCATTTACTTTCTGTACATGCCTTTTGTCTCTTCAGGCAATGTTTGAGGTGACAAAAACTTGATGGGGGGTTTCAGGCTTTGGGTCAAATCAGTCCTGCAACTAGGAGACTTCTTCCGGTGGCAGCTGCCGCTTCATCGAATTCTTTGCTGGTGTCAGTGTTATAGCACAACAGTTTGCATTGCACGGACATGGAGCATGGGCTTTCGACACAGATCGCTCACCCAGTCATGACTTGAACAGTGAGCTGGGCATCCTGATGAGTTTGTTGTGCATCCTGGCTTTACCTTTGGGCAGCGCAGCACATTTCGCAGTTGTATGCAAATCCTATTGCTGGATCAACAAGGGCACTCACCAGAGAGGTGCATGCTTCCCACTTGGAAGACTGTCTTTGCCTCATGTCCATGAAGGGACTGGACTGGCAACAACCACAGTAGCTTGGTTTATAAGACAAACAAACACAGGTTTTGATCTATGTGCGTGTGTGATTTCAATTTAAATAAAGAAAAGCCATTCAGGCCTTTGATTTCATAAAATATAGCTGGGGTCTTGCAAGCGTGGTTTGTTGTTGTCACCTCTGTGTTTTGCAGATTGCAGTAAGATGATACATATATATATATATGCTCAGAATATGCAGACCATCTGAGGCAGCTCTCAGCATTGTTTGCTGGCTTCGGGGTTCTCTTCCAACAGCAGAGCAGCCACGAGGCTCTGTCTTGGTGATGCATCCATGTTTACAAATGTACATCGGCCTCCTGAATGGCACGGGCATGACGCTGAAACAGCATGACTTGGATCTAGGGCGATTTGGAGCACCTACCCAAAAACCTATTCACCTATATGCACCGGTGGAGATGGAGCTGGAGGTGCCTGACCAGACCTTCCAACGGGCAGAGAACCATCCACCAACTGCTGTGGTGCAACTTGGCTTGCCATTTACATTTGTGCCATATATCTAAAAAATTAGTCAACATTGCAAATTGCAACATGCACAACTATAGGTACTTTGATGGGTCTGGAGAGCGCCGTGTCAAAGGTGGAGAAGGGCTTCAAGCAACCCAGGACACAGTACATGTGACATCTATTTGTGTATGGTATTTGGTGTTGATAGACAGACTTGGCAGGAATATCCTCCTGGTTTCGGAGTTGCTTACTATCAATGGTGGGTGAAGCACAAGGACCAGCTGAAGCGTGATGGGTTTATCTGGCATGGTTTGTTTCATTGCTGGCGGCGATTTGTAACTTTGTTTACCTGTTGCCAGGTTGAAGCGGAAACAGCAGCTGTTGCTTCCCAGTGCCAATATAGCCCAGGATGTTGTGCATTGCCATATCATTGAGCGTATTACAAGTGCTGACTTTGACCCAATGAGGGAACATTTCACCGGGGTTATCGAAGCATGCCAACGTGCACTGGGGTTCAAGCCTTGACATGCTGCTTGCCGTGAAAGAAACTGAGTGTGATGTTTGCAGCTTTTATGATCACCATGCAATGTTTCTGCAGTGCATTGCAGCACATTGTTTCATGAAATTGATTTGGAAAGCACCTGGCATATGTTTTTACACATTATCTCATGTCATTGTGAAGATAATAGAAGATGATACCAGATTCTACCCGTGACCAACCGTGACCAACCGTGACCCCAAAATACGTCCTAGTATTGTTTATGTAAAGACCCACCCGTGACCACCCGTGACCACCCGTGACCACCCGTGACCATCCGTGACCCTATTATAACAACTTTAGGATCACATGATGGTCACGGATGGTCACGGATGGTCACGGGTGGTCACGGGTGGGTCTTTACATAAACAATACTAGGACGTATTTTGGGGTCACGGTTGGTCACGGTTGGTCACGGGTATGCATTGGCCATGAGTGTGTGAATTGTGCAGTTCATGGTTTCATTTCCTTTTGTAAAGCATTTTGCTCAAACTAGGCAGTCAGTTCCAGGGTATGACAGATATAAAAGAGGAACTCCTGACCCAGATGGACTTGCCAGAGGGGACCTTTGGAGTGGCGCAGGTGAACCTAGGACTGGAATGTGCTAGGGTCGGTGAACCTAGGGGTGCAGATTCGTTGAAGATGTCTTTAGACACGGCAGCAACCTGTGGTGGACTTGATACTCAGGCCGGGCAGTTGAAACATGTTGGCATTAATAGATGAACTCGTGTGCATGCATGGTGTTTGTAGGCAGATGTGGACACCTTGCCTGGTGACATATATGAGCATAAGGACAGGGCGTTGGAGCTATAGGTAGTTTGCTTTCATTTGTGTTTGTACATGTCTTGATCAGCATTAATTCAATGTACAGAAACGTTTGCATTCAGTATAATCTGCAGGAAACGTTGCCACACAGAGATTCGCTGCCAATTGGTGCCAAGCTTGGCAAGGCAAGAAGATGTATTTTAGTTGTGATGCAGTTTTGATGCTGCTGCATGGTACTTGGACAGATATAGTGCACTGGTATCTGCATCCTGGTGCAATTCAGGCCAGGACTATTCCAGAGGACAGGTTCACGTGGGTACCATATGCTTAATTTCTATTGCATGTCATCGTGATGGGTCATGCAGTTTGTTTTAATGTCAACTGATCAATGCCAATGCATTTGTGTGATATTACAACCGTTTGGCAGGAACCACGCGCTGAACCTGCAAGGCCCATTGGTGCCAGATCTGCACAGGACTAGTGACATGCCATGACAATAGCTATAGGCAGAAATGCAGATGCCTACACAAAGCATTGGTAGCAGTCGTATATGTTTTTTTGCGCAGGGGCAAAGCATGTTTGATGCATGATGCTGCTTTCTTCATAATTACAGGATATGCCAGTCACACATGCACGGCCTGGAGACCATGGATGTCCTATTGGGGCCAAGCTTAATGCTCAGGAGAGGTATTTATCAATGATGGTATTTATGCAGAAGTCACTTGTGAAGTGTCATGCATGGATGTGATGATTTTGCAGAGCCGTGCAGACTTTTACGTTTACAGATGTTTTCATAGTTTGGCCATGCTTGACCTTCAGTCAGGACATGTCAGACACCACATTGCGTGAAGCTGCAGCTTTGCTTTTGAAGAGTCAGGGTGAGCGTGAGCAGGAGAATCAGCACATGGGACATGTATGCTATTATATCTTACTGTACAGGGACATGTTTTGTGGGGCAGATTCGTATCCAAACACATGAGATGCAGATGCATGACAAATTTCTGCAGGAAATTGTCAATGAACAGTGGAGGCAAATTCTAACAAGGGAGAAACAGCAAACCTTGGCACCAGCAGACCTTCGCAGCTCTGCCCCAGAAGCCACGAAAGTTCACCAACTTATACAAGACCAGCTGCAAATGGAGAGATTGATGAACGAAAAGAAACAAGCTCTTGAGGAGGCAAAGGAGCAATTGAGGTTGCAGGAGGAGGCTGAGAAAAGGTTGGCTACAAAGACAACTTTGGAAGAGCAGAAGCAATCTGAGGAGATGAAGGCAAAGGAGCAGCAGCGATTGCAGGAGGAGAACAAAAGGTTAGCTGCACAGAAGGCTTTGGAGGAGCAGAAGCTAGCTGAGGAGATGAAGGCAAAGGAGCAGCAGCGGCTGCAGGAGGAGGCGGCGGCTAGATTGGCTGCTCAGAAGGCTTTGGAGGAGAAGAGGCTAGCTGAGGAGATGCAGGCACAGGAGCAGGAGCGGTTGCAGGAGGAGAACAGAAGGCTAGCTGCACAGAAGGCTTTGGAGGAGCAGAAGCTAGCTGAGGAGATGAAGGCAAAGGAGCAGGAGCTGTTGCACGAGGCGAACAGAAGGTTAGCTGCACAGAAGGCTTTGGAGGAGCAGAAGCTAGCTGAGGAGATGAAGGCAAAGGAGCAGCAGCGGCTGCAGGAGGAGGCGACTAGATTGGCTGCTCAGAAGGCTTTGGAGGAGAAGAGGCTACTTGAGGACCAGCAGCGTTTGCAGGAGGAGGCCACTAGATTGGCTGCTCAGAAGGCTTTGGAGGAGAAGAGGCTACTTGAGGATATGCAGGCAAAGGAGCAGCAACGGTTGCAGGAGGAGGCCACTAGATTGGCTGCCCAGAAGGCTTTGGAGGAGACGAGGCGAGCTGAGCAGATGAAGGCAAAGGAGCAGCAACGGTTGCAGGAAGAGGCCATTAGATTGGCTGCTCAGAAGGCTTGGGAGGATCAGAAGCTACTTGAGGAGACAAAGGCAAAGGAGCAGCAGCGGTTGCAGGAGGAGGCCACTAGATTGGCTGCTCAGAAGGCTTTGGAGGAGAAGAGGCTACTTGAGGATATGAAGGCAAAGGAGCAGCAGCGGTTGCAGGAGGAGGCCACTAGATTGGCTGCTCAGAAGGCTTTGGAGGAGAAGAGGCTACTTGAGGATATGAGGGCAAAGGAGCAGCAGAGGTTGCAGGAGGAGGCCACTAGATTGGCTGCTGAGAAGGCTTTGGAGGAGAAGATGCTACGTGAGGAGCAGCAACGGTTGCAGGAGGAGGCCGATCGATTGGCTGCCGACAAGGCTTTGGAGGAGCAAAGGCTTCATGAGGAGATGAGAAGGTTGGAGGAGCAGAAGCGTGCTCTTCTCGCTGAAGGAGAGAAACTGCATGAGGACCAGAAAATGGTGAAGGCTTTGGAAGCATCTTGTAAAGCAGGAGCTACCAAGAAGGTGCACAGATGCATTGGTACAAATAGTATTTGGTGCTTTTGTTTCTGTCGTTGCATTGGCCGCTGGCTGCTGCAGCTTTTGTAGGCGAACCTGTCACCTCAAGACCATGAGCTCCAGCGGCTTGGGTGGGCATCGCCATCACCTTTATTGGCTGTCAAAGCTGCAGCTCCATCTATGCAGTCGCAGCTTGAAACCATGGGCTGGGGGAAGCCGTCAGAGAAGCCAGTTGAATCAAAGCAGTCAGATGAGGTTGCAGAAGGAATGAATGCTGTTTCTTGGATCGGACCACTGTGTGTATACATGCCATGGCAAGTTCAGCTCGATATCAGTTTGAAGATGTTTCTTGCGATTGCACAGAGAAACCACGATACCATTGAGGTTGTTCCCGGGAAGGCAAAGCCTGAGGTTGCAGAGGCCAGAGAAAGAAATATTTCATTTGTTGCCCTGACATGTCATGTGCTATACCTGTCTAGCTAGCTTGGCTGAATTGCATTGCAAGATTGGTACCATGTTTTGCATTGTTTCCAGGGTGGCTCGAATGGGTCAATGCCATCAGCACCTTCGTCACCTGCATCAACTGCAGTGCCTAGGTTGCAAGCATTTAGTTTAACTGCGTGCGAGGTGCATGAAGCTTTTCATGAGCTGTTCGTTCAATGCCCAAGGTTACTGCGTTGACAGTAACTTGGCCATATGACAATTGCATGCAGGTTCTGCACATATCCCATGATGCTTTCGTTCCAGGTATATATATATATATGTTGGGACACAATTGGTATGATGTTTGATTTGAGGCAGATGCCTTGCAGCAGCTTTCAGCAAATCAGGGTGATGATAAGCCGAAGAGCAGACGGGCATGCTACAATGCATTGGTCCGGTTGAAGGAAAACCCTGCGCGAATGAAGGCTTTGCCAAATGATCTTCGCAAAAGACTTTTGGAGGAGGACGGCCTCTCAAAAGTACCTTCTGATCTGGTCAACTTGATGATGGACGTGGGGGGTGACCTATCGCAGCTCTCGATGCGGTTCAATACAACTGCGGCGCGCATCACTGATGTTTCAGACCGTCAGGGCATGCGATTGCACACAGAAACCGAGATCTTGAAGATGTACAACGAGGAGGATGCAAAGATCGTGATGCAAAACAAAAAGAAGGAAGGTCTGACTACCAAGGATCCGAACCACCCAGACAAGCTCTGCTACTGGATGTACAGTGCTGAGAAGGAGGTTAACAACACCAATCGGAACAGCATTTTGCCTGCATTACGGTTTTGGCAATTTTGGGAGATCCTTTTGTGTGCACTGTATATGACTTGCAAAGTTGCTTTATAGTTAGCAGATATATGTTGCATGAGGCAATGCAGTGGAGATGTCGGCAGATGTGGACACAGACAACAGGGATCTTGTGAACAACTTGATGTCTGAGACCCAGGTTTGACCAGAGCCATTGCTATCAGAATACCATATTTTGTGTTAATGAGAACTGGAAGATTTCCTGTGTCTATCATTTTCCCCATTGATCACTACAGGTCACAGCCTGGACTTCAACTGTTACCAGCTGCAGCTGCTCTACAGCCAGGAGTTTCAGTTCCAGCACCAAGCGGGGTAACTCCTACTGAGGTCGACCCAGATGACTCGAAGCCAAATAAGCGTCCTGGCAAAGCCAGCAAAGGGGCAGCCAAGGATGTTGCCATGCTCACACCATTGGAACGTGGAAAGGACTTGGAGCAGAAGGTGATCAAGCTGAAGGGGGAATGTGGGAATCTCCAGTGTCAAATGCAAACATTGGAGTTTGGAGCTGGGCTGGCGAAGGAGCTTGGGAAGTTGGAGAAGGAATTTGAGTGTTGTCCTGAGAATGGAATGTTGCATGATGTGTGCAATACTGCTGAGAATGACATTTACCCTGTGCTGTACATGCTTGGTTGATTTCAGGTCACTATACCACAAGCTGCGTAAGTTGACTGCTGATGATGTCGAAGAAGAGGATCACTACCTGCCTTTGGTAAAGGATTTCTTGAGGCTGAGCATTTTGGCTGCCATATTCCTGCAGATTGACACATATTTGTGTGCCTTTTTCACACCTGGCTTGTGTTTAACTAACGTATGTCATACTCAGGTAAGGAGCTCGAGGCACCAAAGCAAGCGGCCCAAAGCATGGCCAGAGGCATTAAGGGCAAAAGGCCCAGTGGTGGTGGCAGACCCGCTGCAAAGAAGGCCAAGAAGTGATGTGGAGATATTGTGAAAGTATGTTGCATGTGTGGCATTTGACTGCAGCTATAGAAAAGTTCCGAAACAGATGAGTCACTTTCTTGTGCCTTTGGGTTGCATTGCGCAAAGCATTCATTCTTGCTGTGAACTGATTTTATTTAAGATGTTTCTTGAATGGCACAAAGTTTGCAAGATTGCAATTGTTTCCAAGACATTGCAGTTTGGAGAATGACTGCGCAGTAGTGTTAATGCAGACACGTGTGCACATGTGTCAAATGCTTTTGGGTGGCACAAAAGAAGTGTTGTCTCGTAGGATCACCAGCGCTTAGCACTAGATAGGAATCAGTCAGTGCCTGGCTGTCCTTTTCATGAAAGTGCTGAGCAAACAAATCTCACACTGGCTTGCACCTAGGCAAGATAGGGAAAAACAATGCGCATATGTGCAGTGGATCAGCATTCACGTGCTTGCAGTTTTTGCTGCACATATTTGCGACAATGATATACATGTGGGCAATGAAGATTCAACGACCAGAACCAGGTACCATCAACCTGATCCTGCACCAGATCATGAATCACCGAGAAAACGTGCCAAGAAGATGCACCTGGGCTCTAAATCAAATGTCTCATTGTCTCTACATTGGCAACATCTCTTTTTTGGGGTAAAATCAAATGTGCGAATTCAGGGATCCAGCGGACTTTGACAGCGTGGGTTGCTCCCTATTGGCCGAAGCAGTGGGTGCAGGTGTGACTTGACCTCTTTTTTGAGCTGCATCATGTGTTTGCTATATATATACAAGTGCAGATGTTGTGCAGTATATAGTTGTGCAGGCAAATGTTTTTGACAGATTGAGAACCAAGGCATTGTCAGTCAAACAGTGTTCTGGCATTGCTGCTGGCTTTAAGAGCGATGGGGTGCGTGGCCATGCAATCAAACAATTTGCAAAACGCCCTGCTGAACGTGATATGTTCAGGTGGAAACTTTTCAGAATTTGAGACAGATGCCATTGCTCCCTTTTTTTTTGCAGTCACGTTTTTCGATGCCTTGCATGTTTTGACATGCATTGTGCCTGAATCGGTGATTTTGAGATACAAGGATCAAGTTGCCTATTCAACCTTACATTGCGCAGATTCTGAGCTGCACATACTGGCTGTACAATTGACTTTGCCCTGCCTTTTTTTTCATGTCAAACCACTGTCACACTGAGACATGCATGCCACAGTGAATCAAACAAAATCGTTGTTTCAATATATACTTCAATCACGTGGCGTGGCCCATGAGTTTGACAAAACCTCAGGATCCCATTGTTAACAACAGTTGGCTTGGACAAGAAGGAAGTCTTGCAAGATGTGGGATTTCTTTTGCCTTCTGACATCATTGATTTCGTCATGAGGCAGGACAAGTCCGTGGCAAACAGTTCTTTTTTCTCCGAGGGTGCAGCAGAAGTATTGAAATTCTGGTTGAATGAGGATCCTGACCACATAGATCGATTGCGATTGCAAGAGGAAGAGTTCGCATTGACCTTACCTATATGCTGGCACGAAGATGCAGTTCCGCATTTCCAAAACGACACAGCGACCTTTTACAGTTGGAGCACCCCACTTACTTTTGGAGGAGCCTGGACATCCCGACATTGTTTTGTGGGCCTGCCAACATCACAGATGACCAAGGCCACTCGACGCAAAATTTTGCAAGTATTGAGCTGGGATATGAAAACATTGTCAAGTGGCATCAGACCAGAAACAGACCATGAAGGCAAGCCACTGACTGGAAAAAGGTTGGGTTTGGCCTCTATGCCACTAGCAGGTGGTTGGAAAGGCAAATTTTGTTTCTGGAACGGAGACGCCGAAGCCCGATGGCATGCGCATGACACTGGGCATGCGTTTTCTGTATTTCAAATTTTCAGATGTTTTGTTTTGTCCATGTACTTACATCGCATGGATGTAAAATGTTTTAGATAAATGCTTTAGATGAACTTTTGCAGATGGTTTGAGTCACCCTAGACTTGACAGCACCGTGATTTGAGGAGCTGGTGAGATATTACCGCTGCTCGTTCCTGTGTGATTGCTGCCTGGCCAACCAGACGCTTGAGTGGCTCAACAGTGGTGATTTCAGTGCAACTGCAAAGTGGCGCACGACTCAGACAGTTTTTGGTGACCATGATGATCCATCACCATGGGGAATAGTTGACGGTTACCACAAGTCTCGGTGCCTTTGGGATGGTGCCTAGCTTGCAGTAGTTTGAACAGGCATTAACTTCTACAGATTGATGCATATTTCTGTCACGTTTATATACCAGTAGTACCGCACAAGGCGGTTGCGGAAGTTTCAGAATAGGAAACCTATAGGAGACGTTGGTTGTTGTGAATCACGGGTGGCAGAGCGAATCCACTGATTGACCGAAAGGTGGTTGGAGTTGTGTTTGCTGGAGTGGTCGCAATGGTTGCAGTGGTCACCTCACCCACAACTGCTGGATGTAGTGTGATGTACTGCAACTGTAGTTGTAGTTGTAGCGTAGTGGAGTTGTAGCTGTGGTGTAATGTAATTAGTGTAGTGTAGTTGCAGTCATATAGTTGTAGCTGTAGTTGTTTTGTAGTTGTAGTTGTAGTTGTAGTTGTAGTTGTTGTTGTTGTTGTCGTAGCTGTAGTTGTTGTGTGGTTGTAGTTGTTGTGTTGTGTAGTTGTAGTAGTAGTAGTTGTTGTAGTTGTTGTAGTTGTAGTTGTTGTTGTTGTGCTGTTGTTGTTGTTGCTGTTGTTGTTGTAGTTGTTGTAGTTGTAGTTCTAGTTGTAGTTGTAGTTGTTGTGTAGTTGTTGTTGTAGTTTGTTGTAGTTGTTGTGTTGTAGTTGTTGTTGTGTTGTTTGTTGTTGTTGTTGTTGCTGTTGCTGTTGCTGTTGTCGTCGAAGTTAGGGTAGTTAAGTTAGTGAAGTTAGTTAAGTTAGTCAAGTTAGTTAAGTTAATCAGTGTCTACTTTTTCGACATCTTCACGTCAAAAAAAGGCTCAAAACCCTCAGTTTTTTACACTTTTGACTTCGAAATGTGCTTCGCGCCACAACGGCGTGCACTTTTTCGACATCGCAACTTCCAAAAGTGGTCCGAACCTGAGGTGTTTTGTACATTTTGACTTGGAAATGTGCTTCGCGCCACAACGGCGTGCAACTTTTCATCTCTCATCTGGCCAGCTGGCTCCGCACCCGCCGCTGTAGCGAGCCTACTTTTGGACCCTCCGGAGCCACAAATCATTGGAAAAACACAGTGCTTCGCGACTTTCCTACCTTTTCGCGCATCTGCATCTTCTTTCTTCTGATCTTTTCTCTTCTGACTCTTCTCACCTCTGCTTTTCAACTGTCCATATTGTCGGAAGTGTCACTTCTAAACTTCCTTCGACAAATCACGTTTTGGCCAGAGCAACATTATACAAAACGTTTTTGGTAGTTTTTTTCATGCCCATGACCAACTAAGTCATGCATGTGCTGCACATCGGGATCATGGGTGACGTTGTGGCATCATGCCTTGCAGAGCTTTTGAAAGAAGGTATCTTGACATGCATTTGGATGCACAGTGAGCCTGCACAATATGTTGATTGACCATGGATCTCTGCTATAGGTACCCTGTGCAAGCTTATGCATCTACCTCCAGAAGCTTCCCCTGATCTAGTTCTCCTCCGGACTACACTAGCAGCTCAGAAGTGGGCCAATGAGAGAAAGTTGGACTTGAGCATCAAACCGTTGACACTGGCTTCCCTGAATTTGAGTGAGGGCTGCAAATATCCCGAGCTGGATTCACAGATCAAGGCTGCCAGAACGCGAGTTCTTTTTGAATTCACAACGAGTCTCGGCATAGTGTCAGAGCTACTCAATTTAGATTTGTGGCCAGATGTTTCAAGTAAAGTTGTCATTGTGGGAAGGAGCTATTTTATTTACAATTTACATATGTCCATTGTGCATTGTTGGGAGTGTCATAATCCTAGACACTTGAGGAAGCTGGTCCTAGATGCAGAAACTTGGCTGTGAAGTGGCAAATTTGCCGGGCATGCATTTGATTGTGTGTATTTGCGTTTTTTTCTGGGATTCACCGACGTATGATGACACATGGTTCTATTTCTGTTGATTTGGTTTTTATTTGCATCTTAAGGAGGAACTCCTGGATGAGACTGTGGACCCCGAAGCAATGTTTCATGCCCAAGTCCGGGCAAGCATGTGCTTTTCCTTGAGCAACATGCTGTCCATTTGGAGCAAAGGCAAGCGCCCATTCATGGGACAACAATCCCAAGACTCAAGCCGCTACCTGGGAAACTTGTTTTTTGCCTGCTACACATGGTTGGCAGGGGAAGCGCTTCAGAACAGAGAACTTTTGTGGAAACTACGCCCGAAACATCACTATTTCGTGCACCTCGTGGACAATGCAGTGCAGACTGGCTTAAATCCGATGCATATGAGCAACTTCTTGGACGAGGACATGATGAAAGCAATGCGCGGAGTGGCAAAAGCTTGTCATGCAAAAAGCGTGAAAGTTTCGTGGGCACGAAGGTATGTCCTCAAAAAAGTTCTCAGTTGGAAGCGATCCAGCCACGCTAGCGGTAAAGAAAGATGCATGCCAATTGCTGCCAATGCGGTTGTTTAGCTTGCATGCATGTGCAATCAATGGATCGATCACGTTTGTGGCCAGTTGCATGCAAGGGAAGATGTTGTAACAATGCAGTTCTCCACATATAGTGAAGGACAGTTGCAGACTGCATGCATGCATGCCTGCAGCATGCATGTGCCCGAGCTCAAGCTTTTGATCCCCTGCCAGGTTGTCCCCGTGCAATTTTAGCAATAGCATGCTACTTTCCACATGCAGATGCTGGCAATGGAATCATTGGACCTTTTTTAATTAATGCCGATGCATTTGTTTATCCCGCAGCGATCAGAAACTCGAATCAATCATTTTTTTTTATGAAATCAAATGAACAGATGACTATAGAAGAAATCAAATTTACAAACCCTTTTTCCGTTCAATGTTTTGCATCGTTGATCGATCAGATTTCCTTCTGCAGTCATGCATAAATCTAAAGAGGTATCTTTTTCCAACAGATTTGAGCAGATGTTGAAAATCAATGACCCCCATGCTTTGCAAGTGGCAACTGGCAACTGTGTACAGTGTCAAGATCTTTTTTTTGCTGACCCCCATGCACATCCGAGTCAGATGCTAGTTGGCAGATAGATTGGATGAATGCAAACCAATGCGAGTAGATAACTGGGTGACAGTTTTGTTTCCATTGAAGTTTGTTTTGCAACTGGCATCTGGCAGCAGCTGCGTAAATTTCAGATGTCAGTTTTATGACCCATGGATGAATGCAAATCAATGAGTAGATGACAGATGTTTCCATTGAAGTTTGTTTTGCAACTGCAGCTGCCATGGCAGCTGTGTGCACGTTGGAGTTTCAGATGTCAGTTGACAGCTAAATTGGATGAATGCAAATCAATGCGAGTAGATACATGGATGACAGATGTTTCATTGAAGTTTGTTTTGCAACTGCATGGCAACTGGCAGCGCACGTTCGAGTTTCAGATGTCAGTTGACTATAGATAAAGTGGATGAATGCAAATCAATGCAAGTAGATACATGGATGACAGATGTTTCCATTGAAGTTTGTTTTGCAACTGAGTTTCAGATGTCAGTTGACTAGATAAAGTGGATGAATGCAAATCAATGAGTAGATAACTGGATGACAGATGTTTCCATTGAAGTTTGTTGTGCAACTAGCAGTTGGCAACTGGCAGCTGTGTACAGTCAGTGTCAAGATCTTTTTTGCTGTTCCATCACGCATGGATGCTCCTTGGGCCACATGAGTTTTTGTTTGTTGTGAAATTGCTGTTTTTCAGCTATTTGAAACAAAATGTGTTCATGCCAATTGTGCATTGCAATTGTGAATTGCAGGAACCCTTTACTGTTTTCATGCGGGCATGGTTTCGACAATATACTGCAGGCCATGCAGGCCATATATATATATGTGCATCCCAAGTGGAATCGCGTTCCACATTTGTTGAAAACAAATTCTGGAGCAGCTATGGTGCCACCTATAGCACTTTTTGGAATCGCTTTCATGTGTGGAACAGTTTTTTTCCCCACCTGCCAGGTGAGGGTTGTTAGATTTTATGTCAGTTGCCTGCTCCTCTCCTCCTCCTCCTCCTCGTCCTCCTGCTCAACCGCGACCCTCGACGCACAGTGTTCTCTGTCGGACCTCAACCACGACCATCCACGCCCAGTGTTCCCTGCCGGACCTCAACCACGACCATCCACGCCCAGTGTTCCCTGCCGGACCTCAACCACGACCATCCACGCCCAGTGTTCCCTGCCGGACCTCAACCGCGAGTATCCACGCCAAGTGTTCCCTGCCGGACCTCAACCGCGAGTATCCCCGCCCAGTGTTCCCTGCCGGACCTCAAAACCGCGAGTAGCCACGCCAAAAATATGCCACATAGAGTGCCAGAAGATATGCCAGAATTAGAATGTTAGAAGATATGCCAATATACCAGAAATGTATGCCAGATAAATGCCGAGATGAATGTCCAGATATAATGCCCATGAAAAGGATCTGCCAGATAAAAGTGCCAGAATGTTTCGCCCAATAGATGCCACAGATTTTGCCATGATAATATGCAGAAGATATGCCAGATAAAGTGCCAAAATGTTTGCCAGATAGAATGCCAGCAGATTTGCCAGATAATATGCCAGAAGATATGCTAGATAGAATGCCAGATGGAATGCCAGAAGATTTGCCAGATAATATGCCAGAAGATATGCCAGATAAAATGCCAGATGGAATGCCAGAAGATATGCCAGAACATATGCCAGAAGATATGCCAGAAGATATGCCAGATAGAATGCCAGATCGAATGCCAGAAAATATGTCAGATAGAATGCCAGAAGATTTGCCAGTAACAAAATGTATAAATGTCATGGTGGGGATCACACGAAGTAAAGTAATTGTGCAAATCGCACTGGAATCGGGCCTGTACAAAAGGCCATTTAACGTATAGTGCAACCTGTACTGGAATCTATATATAGCGCAACTCGCGCTGGAATCTTTCGTTTGGCCAATAGTGCAACTTGCACTGGAATCGGGTCTATAAGGCCCTAAAGGAAAAGCCAGCTAGGTCGATACCAATACTTGACCAAACTGCCAGGCAAAAAAGAATTGTGTGTTATGCACTGCTCCATTCAAACTCTTGAGTTTAGAATCAAAACGGAAGTGGCAAAACGGTGCAAAACATGGTTTTTCCTTCTTGGCAGCTCAAACGTGGATTTGGCATTTGTGCGTTTTCTTTCATGTTGTGGTTTCTTATGCTCGCATGTTTGTATATATATATGTGTGTGTGTATATGTTATATATGTATAATATATATGTATATACATACACAGATACATACATATAGTATATAGTTATATAATATCAGGTTAAGTTGTTTCTAGACTCGTTATGTTTCATATTGTGACCTATAGATATCAAATGAAATGAGAAAAGATCAAGCCTGGAAAAGAGATGGGACTGGAATGATGTCAAGAGATTGTTGCTGTGAAGCACAGAGGTCTTCAGCAAGACTTCACAAGCTGGCTCGTCCACAGACTCCAGCACAAGCTCTGCAGAGAGGTCACTGAGGGATTGCATGCTTGCAAATTGCAAGACTATATATATGCCTGAAGCCAACTAGACTGCAGCGCGATAGCTCTGCAGATCGAGGTCACTATAGGATATATTGCAATGCATGCAACATATATGCTATATATATTATGTTATCAGCCTATATATGTGCCCCTAGGGGGCATGCCCCATGGGGGCATGCCCCCAGAGGCACCATATGCAAGATACAACCTGGGGCAACAAAATACAACTGGGATGTATTTAATACATTTCAAGGCTACCTTTGGCATCTCCAGGGAGGGGCTTGGCGGCACCCCGCTTGAGCTGGTAGCCAGCCCACTGCGCCTTCAGAGCTGTGGCCTCTTGACGATGACCAAGCCAAGGTTTGCCTGACCCAAGGGGGCGCTTGCGATCGCTTGCCGGTGTGGTGAGCGCAAAGGACGGAGCGAAGTGCGCCAGCGCATCATTGTAGAGAACCGCAATCGCCTCTGCCATAGTAGCGCACAGAGCCCATGGATAAACTTGAGCAGCTAAGGTCCGAAAGACCCAGTAGCCAGTCTGGGGATCCCGCATCTTGCCCTTGAGCTTCACATGGCGATGACCGCCCGGGCAGCGCATCTGAACGTCGTCGAGCAGTTCAGAAGAGCATAGCAGCCGCGTCGGCTTCAGCGACAAGGCCCCAAAAGCACATTGATCAAAGTCCAGCGCAAGAGCACGAGTATCGGCCACTAGTTGCTCCATGATTGCAGTGACCCAAATCAAACTAAGGAGAGGGTTTTCGATCGAGAAATCCCCCCCAAAATGAAAAACAATGAAACAAGCTTCAGCCGACCTGGAAAGAAAAATGTTACCAAGCAGGACTAAACACTGGTTGTCCTGTGACAGATCCGGCAAACCCATAGGACGGAGCGCCGATCGCAACGGCGGAGGCCCACCGTCAAGCTTCCGAGCTGCCGTGAAGGTATTGCACGGTGTCCCACAATGCAAGAAGAAGACCAAACCTGAGGTGAGCACCTTCAGCACTGTAGACCACGTGATCATGTCAATGAGGTCCACTGGTTCTGGCACCAAGGGGGAGACCACGATGTCAACCGGCGGCAAAGTGGGAACGCCGCGCAGCTGAACAGCCTCAGACAGGCCCGCCGTGCCCGAGAAGAGCTCCAAAAAGTAGGGCCCCCGAGCATGCAACGCAGGAACTCCATCTAGGCCTTTGGACCAGGCAAAGGAGGGCTGATCAGACACTGCTGCCTCACTCACGCTCTGACTCACATCACTGGCAGAGCGGTCACTTGGGGCGGCCGGTCGATCGACCCAAGTGCCAGGTGGCCGAGCCTCTAAGGCCACCTGGCCTCCCTCGTCGCTTCAGTGGTTGCCATGCCAAGGGTGGTCCTTACCACACTCGACACAGGCATGCTTCTGTCTGCAGCTATCACCAAAACGACAACCGAGAGAGCAATTGTAGAAAGGGCAACGCTTCGGGCCCCCATATTTGAAAGCCGTGATCTTCTGCCACTCCTTGGCTGGCACACGCTCATCGCGTGCAGGCCGAGCGGCCCCAGAGGCGGATTCCTTGGGAGAACTCTTGCTGAGAACGTCCTTGGCCTTCTGGAGCTGAGCTTTCTGCCTGACCCTCCGAGCACGGTTCTTCTTGGCTTTCGGAGAAGTCTTCACTGCTGCATGAACCCGAACGAGACCGCGAGCGCTTCTTGGCTGGAGTTGAAGGAGCCGGGAATTGACCCGCCTGTTTGAACTTGTCCAGCTCGGCACTGGAGCGAGCATCATTCCAGAGTTGCTTGTGGTTCGCGAGCACCTCTAGCAGAGCCGCAGAGAACGATCCAAAACTTTTGCGCTGGTCAGAACTGACTCGATGAACCTTCTTGCGGATGAGCGTGTCCACGGTGAGCAACAGGGCCAAGCCTCGATTTTCGTGGCGCCACTCCTCTAGTTCCGAGAGGTACTTGAGGGGGCCGGCCGCAAACGAGAACTCGCAAATGTTCAGATATTCTAAGGTGATGAAGAACGCGTGCAACTTGTCCATGACCTGTGATTCGGAGCTGGCAGAGGTGGGCTGATCGATCATCACCACCCGGAGCAAATCCTCGGCATTCTTCGTGAGGCCTGACTTTTGAGCGATCTGCTCGTTCCGGGTGCGGATCTCGCCGACCTCATAGAAATGCACAAAGCCATG